ATCCTTCTTCCAGCAGCAGCAGATGCCTCAACAACCCTCTCAGCCCCAGCCTCCTGCTCAGCCTCCACAGGCAGCCACGCCAGCAGCCCAGCCGGCTCAGGCTCTGCCCTCCCAGCCTAGCGGCAGCACTGCAGGTACAGAGGATTACCCAACCCCTCCCTCTCAGCACAGCTACTCATCCGCACTAGATGCCACGCCGAAGCATTACCTCCATTTGCCCAGTGAGCACCCCTACCTGACCCCCTCCCCAGAGTCTCCCGAGCCCTGGTCAAGCCCCTCTCCTCACTGCGTCTCTGATTGGTCAGATTCCACACCGAGCCCAGCAGTTGCTGGCCCTGCCCAGACCCAAATTACTCAAATCCCAGAGGCCAATGGCAAGATGCAGGTGTTTGCGTGAAGATCTCATGGCCCCTGCTTGAAAAGGGACCTGGGGTGAAAGCATTTGTGGACTGGCCCTCGGGCCTGTCGGTTTATATGTGTCAGCCTGTTTCCAAGATTTTCATTGGATTTGGATTGACTATGATTATCACGAGGACCGTCTGCTAGTGATGTTTGCAGAGAAAAAAAAAGTAAAGGGAAATGTGTGTTGTCTGAGAAAACAGCAGACAATTTAATGAAGTAATTCTGTCACAGATGGACTTGTTTTTTATTATAAAAAAAAGTATATGAAGAAAACCAAGTCTTTCATTTCAAAGACTTAGGGGTGTTCTCCTGGAAACTAACAAACATTTAAAAAGTAGATAAGAGAAAAAAGTAAAATGTTGAAGGGAATTCATTTATTTTTATTTATTGTTTTTATCTTTCTGAATTGCTTTTTTTAGGTGTTTCACCCTCTTTCTGTCCTAGCTTCTCACATAATGCGTCACCCCCTTTTATTTTATATGGACCGCCTGCATTTCTATTTAGCCAGTGTGGCAAGTGATGGTAAAGGAATATAATTCATCATTCAGACCAGTTAACAGACAGAAAGAGGAACTTTCACCTCTCGTGACTGATATTTATTTAGGCCAACGACAACTGGTAAAGATGAGAAACTGGTTTTAGCAGATATATATTAAGAGTTGCTCAGCAGTAGTGATATATTCTGATTTGATTGAATTGTGGTAATTGATTACTTTCCATATGAGTATTATGAATAAGAATGTAGATGAGTGTCTCTGAAGCACTTCAAGTGACCAGCCTCGAAGGGCAAGTGTGGGTCAAATACAACGTTTAACTGCAATGGATATTTATATTATATGGGTGGCATTTAGTCCCTGGCAATTGTCCTTTTGAACTTTGAAAATAAACCAGTAGAGTAAGGTTTAGGAATAAAACTCCTATTTCAAGTGTAGTTTCTCACTGACTCTACAGGACTCGTACCTCCAGTTCTACTGTCAGACTATGGAGTCGAGCATTGACAGTAAGTTTTGGCATCTAAAATAAAATTTGGCATTGAAAAAGGAAACATCAGTACTGAAAAAAATGCCACAGAAAATATAACAGAGACATTAAAATTGTTTTATTATTTTTATTTTGCATTCTGATGTGTTTGTCAATGACAATCCTCTGATTTTTTTTCTTTGTGTCACTCTTGAAGGAGTCCAGAGGCACTGTTCTCTCCTTAGTATGCAGATTATGTAAATCACGCTGTCCTTGCCTCTCCCCTCAAACCCCTCATTTCCACGACAAGACAATGACAGGAAGTTGAAACTGAAGACTCTACGCATTTTAAAAAAAAAACAAAAAAAAAACATTGACACTGAAAGTAGAGGAGCCTAGGGAAAAAAATCACAAAACTGTCAATGAAAAACACACCAGGATGCAAAAATATATATATATAAAAAAATAATTGTAATGCCTGTGTTTATTTTTTAGTCAATGTTTTTTCACTGCCAGTGATTCCTTTCTCAATGCCAAATTATATTTCAATGCTAATATTTACTGTCACTGCTCTGGCTCCATTTCAACCCCAATAACTGTGTTGTTTTGCCTTTAAAATCAGCCTCTCACTGCCCTTTTTAGTTAATGTTTATTTTTTTGTTTGTTCCATTTGTTTTATACTCTGTATATTTGTGAAAACCATGGATACCTTTTTTTTAACATCACTTCAGATGTACTAAGCTATGCTTACCAGCTGCTATTTTGTATCACCCTTTCCCGCAAACATTCCTCCATTTTGCCTGTCGTTTTGTTTCTGGATGCTGCGCCTTCAGCAGCTTCCAATGCAGCGTCAAACCACATGACAGACAGGTAGAAGATTAATTTGTCGAGCCCACATCATGTGGACTAAATGGAAACATTCCTGGACTATCTGTGGCAGTTGAGGTTGACGCTCTCGCCTCGTCTCTGGTGGTGTCTGCGGTGGAGTAGTGGTCAGTGTGAGGGTGTAGCTGCTGGGCTGTGACTGCTTGTGCCCTGTCACTCCTCAGGGAGGTGTTTTATGGCATGCAGTGGGACAGTTCCTCCTGCATCTACAGTAGCTCCCAGTCCAGGGGCAGCGGAGATGCATCTTGAGATGATTGTTAGAAGAGACTGAAGGAAAGAACACTACTATGTAGTGCTGCACCCTTAAACTTTTTACAGAATCCTGAGGTGACACTCCCAGTCATCCAGCTAACACCTTGTGTAATGTCTGACCAACTCTTTGCCCCCACATGACCTGAGTGTGTAGGGTGGAGGTCATCCTCGCCTTAACGTACTGTGGACATTTCAGCATAAAGTCAAATGATGATAGTAGAATTTTTGAGAAAGTAACCATTGCATTTTCACCATGACCAGAAATTAGTAGGCCGCCACTCCTAGCTACTACTTTTGTGGTGACCTAACACTGCCCCTAGTTGTGTCATAGAGTTTATTTTTCATCCATTGTTTTTTCTTGTTCACTATAGACTTGGCTACTGTTTTGTCAGACCTGGGAAACATGTTGTTCACAGTCCAGTTCATACTTTACTTACAAAAAATGTTTTCTGTTTTTTTATTTTTTTTATATATAACTGGTCTTTCAATTTCCCTACCAGGTCGCACTAAGTGTTTTGTACATTTCAACCTCCCAACTTCTGTTTGTACATATGTTTGTTCTGGGTAGATCTTTGCTTGAGAAGTCTTATGTTTCTGAAATGATTGTTATGTACTAAAAAGGACAAAAATAAAAATGTACTTCATTTAGCATTATTTGAAGCTGAGGCTGTGACTGATATTTTTATTGGTCTTGTGTTATTAGAACAGTCATAGATATTTTCTATCATTATTAATTTCTATACTTGTTTAAAAGTAGTTCAAAATCATTGTACATAAAACCTTTGCCACGGTTTTTCTTTCTACAGTCAAAAGTTGTAAAGTTACTTATAATAAAAACTGTAGGGAACTACATTTTTTGTGTCATGGTTTTTTAGTGATTGTTTCGTATTATAAAGGAGGATGTTCATTAATTCAGGTCCTCATAATCATAATCATTAAAAAAGCTGAAAATGCCATTACCTGAAAAGATAATTATTCAATAGTTTTATAGTCTGAAAGTACTTTTTCTGTCCAATACAACAGCCCCACAGTAAAGGTTGTCTTTGACTCATGTTTATTAATACACTCTTGATTTTTAAGAGATTTCAGTTGCCAACATACCAACACAAGCTACAAATAAAAGCCTATAAAAATGACCACTTCAGTGAATGACCACCTATCTTATCTCTCTGCATCAGCAAAACTTACATGAAAGGCTTCACAATGGAAGTAACAGTTGCAGGATTATTGTATTTGGTTATATAGGTATAAGAATCTCATGTCCACGTCCATCCAGTGCAGTTTTATACTCATAAAAATAAGCTAAAAAAATGACTGGCTACATCTTGAAGTTTAGCTTGCTCTGTAAATTTGCCACACAGGCAATTGAACCCACACTCAGTTAATTTCAGTGCCAAACTGTTAGCAGAGATACCCCCGTAAGGATCACCATAAAGCTGTGCTACTTCATTAGAGCAATAATGGTGAGTTTAGTGAACAGTAACTGATATAATATATTTTCAATTAAAATACCATGACAGCCAAACAGGGCTCAGAGCAGCTGCGGTGTGGTGGTTTTATTGTTTCTCTTCTTCTGAGCCCAGTTTGCTCCTCAGTGTTTCTTCCAGTTAATTGCAATGACGCAAACAACAGAGGTTTGGGTAATATTTTAGTTTGGAGCATCTACCAAGCAGGATCAGTTTTCCCTGTCTAGGTGTACTGTGGGTAGGGTGAGAGTTGAGATTGGTGATTCAGATTGTGGTGTTATTCCAGGAATACATTAGCCTGAAGCATGTTATACAAACATTGTGTTATTAGTTTTAGTGGCTTCAAATATGGAGAAGCTGGGGAGTCTAACACAGGTTCTTAATGTGTTGGTCCCGACCCCCACTAGGGGTCGCCAAAGCTTCATAGGGGGCTGCAAGGCCTTCTTAGATGGCCGAGTGCTGGAAAACTTGTTGGTTTTTTTTTCAAGTTTCGATACACCTCTAACTCAGTATTTTATCTATTTCTGTGGAAAACTTAATGAAATTGCTTAGATAAAATTTAAGTTTAGATTATTAAGGCATGGCCCGTGACCTGAACACAAGCAGAGCGTTCTCTCTCTGCCTGAGGAGTGAGTGGAACAATGGCCAAGGGTCAGGTATATGAAAATAGTGAATTTGTAAGAAAGAGGTATGCATGATTGTCAGAAATTCAAAAATGAATATGTATTGTATGAAAAGCAACTAAAAAAAAACAGGAAATCTCATCTCTAATGCAACATTCACAGGAAATAATCTGCTCAAAATTCATGCAGTATTTTGGTTAAATGTACAGTTTTTAACATGTTCTGTGCTGTTACTGATATGTATTCAATATATAATGAAATATCTATAAAATATGTCACTTAGTCAGGGGTCATCAGTTTACTCAATAATATAACAGAGGTCCCCAAAGGAAAAAGGTTGCGAACTTGTGTGTCAGAGTGTCTGGCTCAGTACCCTAGATCCATTACAATAACACAAAAACCATGGCTTGTATATTTTATTAAATAATATATTATTCATTTATTACTAACATTTATTTGTTTGTCTTTCTGCCAATCAGATAAATTATAATATTCCTAACTTTACTAGTTTTGGTTACACTATATCCTTGTTAGAATCACTGCAACACATAAAACATATAAATGACCTTAATAAAAAGTGAAAATGGAAGAGTGCTTATATTTTTACATTTTACTTTGACATTATTATACAGTATTTACCTGTACAAATGTTACAAAGAAATAAAAAAGATCTGCACAGCAAGAAAGAAGACCTATAAATATTACCTGCATATTTACAGTACGTGAATTATTAAAGGAGCAGTGTGTAGGTTTAGTGGCATCTAGCAGTGAGGACTGCAGACTGCAACCAGCTGAAACTTCTCCCATGAGCCATGTGTGAACTCACGGTTATTGTTCCTTCAGTGTCATTTATGATTTCTGTGTGGACAGTCGACAGTCGTGCTCAAAATAGCTGCAGGCTTAACTGAATATCAATAACCCCACTGTGTCCTGAAGGAAATGCTGGTGTTCAAATAAATAATAATGGTTGAACATAATGAAAGACTTCTGAAAACATCAGTACGCTTCACCATTGTCTGGCCTGGGGTTCACTACAGGGAAGGTTTCACTGGGAGCTGAATTTTCAAGTTCTGCCAATATATCCCCCTAAATCCTACACACTGGACCTTTAACATTATTTGCAGTTATTGTACAAGACAACATCCTATGGTTTGTGCCGTGTTCATTGCTGCTCAGAAGAAAACTCTCCTTAGAGTGGGATACTACACTTAAAAAACAGACTGTGTGAATCTACCACAGTCAGTCACTGTCTCCTTATAAATAACATTTATACTCAGTGCAATCCTTACTTCTTCCCTGCCCTTCTCTGCAGCACGCGCAGCACCCTGAGAGTTGCATTCAACACACTGTCATGTTTAAAGATCATCTTATAGAAGGTGTCCAGAGGCAGTCGGCCAGTCGGATCTGCGTGCTTCAGTGCAGTCATGGGCATGTATAGGCGGTTGGTCTGGTGGCGTAGAGGAGGCTCCTTGGCTGTGATCACTTTAACAGTTTGCTGAGGAATTAAAAAAAAAAATCCTCATTATGCATTTCCACTGGCAAAACCAATTAGTTTTAATGACCTTTGAAACTCAAATAGAAATCTAACTGTGATTGCTTGCCTCAGCCACTTCCTCTGGTGTCTGGCCTAATGAGGCGAAGACCTTTTCGGAGTATGGCAGGTAAAGTTCACGGAAGATTTTGGCCGTCTCCTCATCAGTCCCCGATAGATCCATCTTCTCAGCATCCTCGTACAGTTTCCTTTCAAACTCTGTCACCACAGGGCCGGGTTCCACTAGAGTCGTCCTTGTGCCAGAGATATAAAAAAAGGGAGACATATAGAACCATTGTTGCATTACAGACAAGTCATCATACTGTTGTAGGCTTACTGATAACTCAAGTTTTAGTTGTTGAAGTTGATACATTTTTCAGGTCATGTAATCACTTGATGTTAAACTTCATTGCTTGCACCGCCAGACTTTCACAAAATCCTTCCACAGCAAATTTGGAGGCGGAGTAGATGTCATTGAACAGAAGCCCTGTGTGGAAACACAAGGACAACTCTTAGTAACGTTTAACCCTCCTTAAACTGACTTCTGTAATTTCACTGTCACATACAAACATACCCTGTATTCCCATGACGCTGCTCATCACCACAATATGGCCACTCTGCCGCCGCTTCATGTCAGGCAGCAACTCCTTCACCAGCCGTGCCAGGCCAAAGAAGTTTGTGTCAAAGAGCTCCTTCATGGCGTCGATACTTTGGCACTCCAGTGGTCCGATCATACCGACGCCGGCATTGTTCACTGTAAGAGCAGAGGATTCTGTGTCATTATGTGTTTGTGAGGAGACTTTGAAGGAGCAGAGTGTGTGTGTCTCAAACTGCTCCCATGTGCCAGGCGTGAACTCCCTGTTAGGAGTTTTCATTGTTCAGGAGGTTTTTATTGGAAGTAAAATTATCCTCAGAGGTCTCCTCCTCTCCAAAACAAATAGACCAGGTGATTTAAAGCGGTAAAAACACCACATAAGGTAGTTTCACATTAAAAATCAGTATTTTCCAATGCTGAATGAGAGGATACAGACCAAGAACATCCACCCGTCTCTCCGGCAGGCTGTTGACACACTCTCTGATGGAAGCTTCACAGCAGGCATCCAACTGTTTGATCTCCAAGGTTTTGTTTAAGTTGTCACCTGCTGCTTTCTCCAAGGCCCCTCGTTTCCCAAGATCCCTCATTGTGGCGACCACTGCCTCAGATAAACAACACATACACTGGCTGTAAGTAGCTGTAGTTATTTCTGTCATCTATTGTTTTGGTTTTGGCTGAGGAGAGTGAAAGGCTGACCTTTGAACCGTCTGAGCTCATCCTTGGCGAGCCGTGCAGCCACAGCCAAGCCGATGCCAGAGGAGCACCCAGTCACCAGCACCCTCCTGGTTCCCATGGATCTTTGACCTCTGACCTCAAAGCCCGGGTGGATCCTGGCTGCTCAGTCAACAATGCTGTGAACGGGGAAATTTAAGTAAAGGAAACCCCTTCCATATTATATCATCATCATCATCATCAGTAGACATACAGCTGTTTTTAGCAGTGAGGCTTCTAGGCTGAGCTTTTGCCCTTAACAGTTCCTCTAAATCAAAACTCAACAGATGCCGTCACTAGATATGAGGAGCCAAACTTCCCCTGCAACGCTCCTCTGAGCACAGTTTGCTATTTGTTCAAAGATTATATTGGCTTTAATCTGATTTATGTACCCTGGAATTTTCAGCTGACCCACAACAGAAAGCTTAGTGCTTTGTCCGTGGAGGCCCTTCTATTCACACTTGAACCCTGTAACAGGTATAACTGCAGTGAGTGTAACTGTTAAGTGTAGGATGTAATGAATGCTGATACTACGAGGATTTCACACATTTACATATGGATTGCTCTTCGTGGTCTCGGTCCTACCTATTTATCAGATTTGCTTTTGTCATATGAACCCTCTAGAACGCTCAGGTCTTCTGGAAGTGGCCTTTAAATCATCCCCAAAATTAGAACTAAAACATAGTGAGGCAACATTTCAATATGCCTGTGGGACAGCCTGCCTGAAAGCCTAAAGGCCGCAGAGAGTGTTGATGTTTTTAAAAGCAAACTCAAGACCTACCTTTTCAGCCTGGCTTTTACTTCAACTTTATACCTTTTTTTATTTTGTATTAATTATTATTGTGTATTTATCTATTTGTTTATTTTTATTAGTATGTTTTGTCTAACTGGCATATTCTATTTTTTACTTCATTTTTTTCCTGATTTAAAAATGTTTTCTATTTTAAATTTTTATCCTGCCTCTGGTGTTTATTGCCATCGGTTTTTTGCATGTATGTATGTATATGTGTAAGTATGTATTTATTTTTATTTTCTAAGTATTTTTTAAATTATTGTATATCTTGCTGTAACTGTCCAGCTGTCCACAGAGGTAGAGCTATACTATCACTTATACAACTGGGTAATTTATAATTTAAAGTTGCGTTTTCCTCTGAAATACACTGAAGCAGAATCATACCATAAAATGATAGTAGTTAATTTAAGTATCTCAAAACTGTGGTTGAACAATTGAACACAGCACTTGAGTTAATACACTAAGTTACTTCTCCCAGTTGTACACAGGCCTAAAGTACAGTGACACCACCCCCAGAATACCACAAGGCCACAAAGGCTGCGAGTATCACACAGACACTTGTCCCAACAGGAAGTGGTCACCTGATCAAAGTCCAGACTGGGTCAGTTTGTAGATGATGTTGTAGTGGACCAACCTGTAGAGCGAGCAGCGCGTCCTCCACAGCAGTAGATGTGGGAAATAAAGACTTTACAAAGCCAGCAGGGTGATAAAGTAACGTTACTGCAGCATTCAGAGAGCAGGGACGTGACCAAGTCACTGTGGCACAGGCGGCTACGTAATCCCAGCGATTACCTAAATGGGTCACACAGGCTGGTGCAGTATGTGGGAGTTGTAGTCCTTCAGGTGAAAGCGACTGCAGCACATCATAATGCATCAAACTGAGCATAGTAATAGTAATAATGATAATAATATTTTAATTTAATTTAATTTAATTTAATTTAATTTAGTATTTTAATATTTTTTATTCATATAGCACCTTTCAAAACACAGTTACAAAGTGCTCTACAATAAAACTAAACACAATTAAAACACAAGAAAAATAAAACAAATAACATGTCATAACATGTCTTATAGCAAAAGATAAAATAAGGAAGGCCAAAGTTAAAATCAAGATAATAAATGGGAAATAACATCAATAAGATAGCAATAAAACACAGCTCAGAAAACGTCAGGATATGCTTTCCAATATAAGTATGTTTTTAGGAGAGACTTAAAACATTAAAGTGTTTATAGTAAAAGATGGTGTGCCATATTTTGGCCTCCTCATAGCCTGCCTCATGTCTCAGGACTGGGTAATGATTATAGAGGGAAAATGTCGGATTATGTTAATGATTATGATTGGTAATAATAATAAATCCAGTAAAATTTAGTTTTTATAAGAAATTTATCACACAATTATGAATTGCGTGTCAACTTTACCACTTAATTTTGAGCATACTGACTCTGATTTTACAAATTGAATTCCCTGCAGTTCCTCACTGTGACCACAAGATGGCATAAAACAGTAATAATTCTAAAAAGTCCACATTCGCTTCCAACCAGCATCAAGACACCAACATTAAAAATAAATCCTTGAGTTGTAATATTCAGTCCACCACCAGATAAAATGAATTATTCACAAGATATTATTTATTTATTTATTTAGTTAGTTAGTTATTACAATATGCAGGAGTTTATACATCCACTGTTTCTATTATTTGATTATCTGTGATGATGCAGTTCCTGACTATGGCCGCTGGAGGGCAGTGAACACTCATGATTCCACACACAGGTGAACCGTCAGCTCCACCGAGCCTCAAAATACACATCAGAAAGCTGTTATTAAAACATAAATTTATACATAGAATCATTACCAATAATAATGTTGACACAAATAAAGAGTCAACAATATGTAAAATAATATTTATGTCATTTACGAATGCCGATTTGACACTGAATTCGTGTTGCAATTCTTCACTGTGGCCACTAGAGGGCACTGAACATTCAAGTGATGACGTTTTTTGTAGGCTGATGAGGAAGTTAGCGTTGAACTAGTTCCCTTGTCAAAAAGCCACATCTTTCAATTGGATTTTTGGATTACTGAAGAAAATAAACTCTGGTTGCTTAGCAATTTATTGTTATATAAGTTATTTTGACATATAAAACCGGTTTGTTAGTTAGCTGTTTAGCTCGCACATACAAATAAATGAACGTTTAAGCTTTTATCAATATGGAGATGCTACACATCGTTAGCTTGGTTGATTGCATGAGCACCAGAGAAGACTGGAAGTCATTTACATATACCTGCATGACGAAAAAGTGGTGTCTCCTTTCTTATGAAGCTGTCATAAAGTCAGAACATGTGTCCATTCCTCAATTACCCGGTAAGTTTTTTATTTATTAAAAAGGCCTGTCCCATATGGATGCCTGTCCCTAATATAAGCCTGTGGAGTTTAGGAATTTGCACAAATAATAGCCTGGGCTACTAAATGAAGTTTTATCATACCGGGTGGGTGATGTTCACCTAGTTTAGCTCAAACAGCAGCAGTTCAAACACACTTTTATAAATGTTGTATTTTGCAAGCTTTTGATGAATTCAAGAACCAGATTTTGTAGTTCTGAGTGACCCAACCAAGAACCAGCACTGCTGTATAAAGGTTCGTGACACCACTCACATAACATATGCCCCCTTTTAAGGATTAATTATTGTCAGAATTGATATCGTATTATTATGCAACACATATTGCAAGCACTGGCAGCTATCTGACCATCTGATGCAGTTTCATGTTGGCTGATTGTTGTCCCCATGAACTTTGGCAGCACTTGAAGCAATACTGGGATGAATTTCACATATGGGCAATATATTTGTGTATATTTATATGAGTAATTTTTAAGAGTTTATTTACCAAACAAACGAGCAGAAAAACATGTGTTTTGTGACACTTGAGAGTGAGACTGCGTGAGAGCAAGACTGAGGCCTGAGGGAGGGTTTACCATGTCTTCCTATGTGCTTTGTCATGATGAGAGGAAAATCCTTTAACTATATGCTGCTGTTCTACTGAGGTTACACTGAACCTATTCAGTGTTCATTCACAAAATGAAGTCTTTGAAGAACTTAAAAAGATATTTTCTAACCACAGGTCTTTGCATTATCATAGAGCACAGAGCATTAATGGTTTACAGTAATGTTATATTGAAGGAGCAGCAGTATGTGCTCATGGTAGACTATAATTTCAAACACTGTAACATTAGATGGCTGCTACCAAGAGTTTTAGACAAGTACAATCCTCTACACGTTTCCTTTTTTTATTTTTTATTTTTTTAGTTTCTTTTATTTCAACCCCTTCTTTGAGTTATGATGATCCTTTAAAAATATATATAAATAAAATAAATATAAAATGTATAGTCAAGATTAGAATTTAAATGATGCATTTACTATAACATCTTTGCACAAAATCAAGTAACACGTGAGTAACCAGGTTGACAGTATCTGTCATTAAAAGTTTTTTTTGTTTTTTTTTTCGTGCAGCCTGGTTGCACACCAAAGCCTCCTCATCTTCTGCAGAGTGTAATTGGACCTTTTGTCTCGTGGTTGAATGCGTTAACAAACTCCAGGGATTTGGTGTTCTACATGTACAAAACAGGCACCTGATGACCTGTGCTAACAAAAGGTAGAAACTTCTCTTGTGACATGAATCTTACATAGTTAGTCCATTATTTCTGTCTGAGCCAATGTGTACAATGAACCGGTAAATAATAGCTCATGGGAACTGGGCGTTTTCGCTCAAGTTCAGAGAGTTAAAAAACGTGAGCCACCACCTCACATATGTTCTGTCACAATTTGTACCACCTGATGAGGCTTTGTACCTGGATTATTCTGTTAAATAACCTGTTTATTGATTATTTGATTTTGTATAAATCCTACTTTTTTATTCACTTATTCTGAATCATCAGTCGATCAATCAATGTATTTGTCACATGAAATCATAATTACAGTGAAATGTAATTCTGTCAAGTCCTTTGATTTGTGCATTGAATATCTGGGGTAGAAACTCTTCCTGAGCCTCACAGTGCTGGTCTGGTGTAGTCTGTACCTTCCTCTCGAAGGCAGTTGTCCAGGTGGTTGGGATCCTTAATGATTTTTCTGGCCTTATTTTTGCAGCGTCTGGTGTAAACATCCTTTAGGCAGGGTAGAGCAGCACCTATAGTATGTTCAGCTGTACGAACCACTCTATCAAGGCCTTGCGGTCCTGTTCGCTGCTGTTTCCACACCAGACCATGATGTTACCTGTCAGGACACTCTCGATGGTGCAGGAGAAGAATTTCCTCAGGCATCTCAGGTAAAACAGTATCTGCCTTGCCTTTTTCACCACTGAGTCAGTATGCAACACCCACATCAGGCCCTCAGCAATGTGGACACCAAAGTATTAGAAGCTGTTCACCCTCCCCACCAAGGACCTGGTGATATTAAGGAGGGCAGAGTATAAACCTTTCTTTCCAAAGTCCTCTATCATCTCAAGTTGTTGTCCTGACACCAGCAGGCCAAGTCCTCTATTTCTTTTGGGTCATCCTTTTCATTGTTATCTGTGATCAGGCCCACCACAGCTGAATGGTCCGCAAACCTGATGATGATGTCAGAATCTGGAGTGGCTCCACAGTTGTGTGTACAGGGAGTACAGCAGGGGACTCAAAACCCTCAAAGCCCTGGGGTGCTCCAGTGTTAAGGATGAGGGTGGACGAGGTGTGTCTGTCCACCCTCACCACCTGAGGTCTGCCCATGAGGAAGTCAAGGATCCACATGCACAGTGGGGTGTTTAATCTCAGGTCCTTGAGCTCTGTGCTGACCTTATCATAGAGACCGCAGAGAGAGAAATCAGGTCAAATTAAATTATACTTGCAAGTGACAAACAAACAAACAAAATTGGCATTTTTCTTGTCCATCTGGTATTTTACACTCAGTGGTCACTTTATATGGTAAAAATGCTAACTGTGTGAAATGTGTCAACAAAAACTGACACACTTAAGATTTTTTTGTTTTGTTTATTATTGAGGTCATAGGTTCAGGTGATATGTCCAGTGTTAAGGGAAGTACCATAAATACAAAGGACATTTGTCAGTTAAAAACAGTTCTCTGTTTTATAGTTTCCCATACTTGAGATCAGTGTATAATCATGAATAGAGAAGATACTGCAACCTGCAAATTAGGATTACTTGTGTCTCACCTATATGCTTCTTCTTACAGTCATTATGCACACATCCACCCGCCACACCCATCCACACAACTTGACATTGGTACTCTTAACTAACCCTTTGTTAAAAGTCTGTGAGAAAGATAAACACCTTTGTGGTTGTATCAACCAAAGTTGAGCGTTGACAGTTGTCCCTGACATTGTGTTGACATCAGGTACAGAGTAGTCCAAACTACACTAAACAAAAATGTATGCTCCCATTGTTCACAGGTTTAAGTTACAGGTCTAAGCCTTTTTTTATGCACACAAACTTTTTCTCTCAAGTTCTGGTGACAACAAGGACGGGACAACAAATCCGTGTTTGTGAGTGCTTCTCCTTTTTAACAGGTGTGGCATGTCAAGATGCTGATTAAACAGCACCATTACCACATAGGTGTGCCTTGGGATTGTCGCCTTTTAAATGTGCAGTTTTATCACACAACACAAAATTTGGTTTGTACAATGAAGAATTTCTCACAAACTATTAGAAAGCGGGAGGGTCATCTTACTGCTCGTCGTCCTTGCCCCGGTCTTGATGTGACAGAGGCAACATTTGTGGCATTGTATTGTGTGATAAAACTGCACATTTTAGAAAGACTTTTTTTGTGACCACCCAAGACACACCTGTGCAGTAATGATGCTGTTTAATCAGCGTCTTGTCGGGTGGATGGATTATCGGCTTACTAACACAGATTTTAACCAATTTGTGACCAGAATTTGAGAGAAATTAGTCTTTTGCATGGACAAAAAAATAGGACCACAAACAAAATGTTTGCTCAACGTAGATCTTCCTTAAGACCAAATTAAGGTGATATTCAAGAGGTTACAAAATTGGAAAAACACATACAGTCAAACGTGACTCTGTTTCATAATTCTACTCAGTCTCTTTTTTCTGCTTTGGGTTCCCATTGGTTATGACACTCTATTGTCTGGTTTGTGTTATGGGTTCAGGGAGTGGCCAGTTTGCCTTTCATAACCAGAGCTGGAATAAATAGTTGCGCTGAACCAGACTGACAAGATCCAATTTTCGACAGCACGGATCCCAACACTCTGCCACAATGTAAGTACAATTATATTGTCCAGATTGTTTTAGATGGAAATTCTTGAGTAGAAATTTCCTGTTTTATGAATGAAGCTTAAATGCTTTCACTGGATAAACAAAAGTGGGTTGGTGTGTCTTTGTGAAAATACTTTTAAATATGTGTTTCAGGATTTATCTTTCAGGGCTTGTTGGCTTTCTGCTGGTGCTAACAGCTGAGGCCAGAGTTGGGTAAGAAATCTAAATTTGATGCTCGTTTTTATTAGATTTCTGCATTTGAAAAGTAAAAACTGGCAGCTCTGTTACTCCTGTGAGTCAGGTGTAGAAGCAGATTCTTGGATATATGAGAAATTGCAAGTTATAAATCATTTTTACCCTGGCACAGATGATTACTGCTATCATATTTAGTATTTTTTTTAATGTCTGCATCATGCCTTTTTTAATAGTTTCCTCTCTTACTACACAGAAACTCCTCTCAGTTAGAGTTCTGTAGTGAGACTAAAGAGTGCCTGCTGTTTGATCTGGTCTGTGAGACTGAGGACTTTCAGGTGAGTGTGTCTGAGAAGGAGAGAAACCTGTTCACATTTGTTGTGCAAGAAACTTTTAAAAAGCCCACTCCTTCTGTGTGTGTTTCCATGTCCCTCAGGTCCGTTACTATGACTCTGTGAAATGGGTTTCAACTGACGAGACGTCCTACTTCATGGATATGGCAGCATTTAGAGCATTCAGACGACTTTTTGAATACATCACTGGTGCCAACGAGAATGGTGCGTCATTTATGTGTTTTGCTTAATCTTTTATTTTAAAAGGATGTCAACAGAAAAGCACAACCGCACAATGTTTACATAAAAATACAGTGGTGCAACGCAACAGAAACTCATTGTAACTCATTCAGTTTGCAAGAAACTAGTATTTGAAACCATTTCCCAGCTTCTGTTGGTGGAGCAGCTAAAATTAAAATGTCCTATAATTACTGTATTTAGTTGTGAGCAGCGAGCAGAAACAGTTTGGCAGTTTCTTGGATATTCAAGCCATAACATTTTGATTTTATGTTGTATTTTTCCTCTCTGTGACATCTCTAAGAAAAAAAAAAATAATTGTGTTTTCTTACCTTCAGGAGAGAAAATTGAAATGACTGCTCCTGTTGTTATAAAAATATCTGAGGGCATGTACTTCTGGCAAAAGGGCACCTACACAATGAGTTTCTTGCTGCCAGCTAAACATCAGGCGAAGCCCCCCAAACCTACTGATGAGCAGGTAAACTTCCCTGACAATGGTTGGAAAAAAAACACATCAGTCTTTACTTCTAAATGCTGTGATTGTGTTTGAATAAATTCAGTATGAAACTTTGCTGACTTGCAGGTGTACCTCCAAAAGATGCCAGCAATGAAAGTGTATGTGCAGAGCTACGGAGGATGGATGACGAGCTTTTCTGACAGAAACAAAGCAAGCAGTCTCTCCGCTGCCCTCGACTTACTGAAAGCAGAGTACAAAAAAGGCTTTCACTATGCTGTTGGATATAACAGGTAAATAAATCACCAGCATTTTACCCAGTCTAAAAAAGCAAAGCAAAGAAAAGCTTTTAATATTTGGTGATTTGATATTTTGCAGTAAAACACTGTGCATTTGTCTCTTGCAGTCCAATGAAGCTGTTTAACAGGCACAATGAGGTGTGGTATGTCGTCAGCGATGACCCAGTGTGTTCCAGCAGTGAGGAAGAGGACTGAAGCAATGAGGGCTTACAGCAGATGGTGCATATGAAGAGCTTTTGCAAGGCAGACATTACGTCAAGTGTCATGTAAATAACCTGCCAGTGAGAGCACACATTTTAAAAATGCCAATGAATTTAATACACTACGTAGTACTTGCAACGATGATTTTACACAAGCTTGTTTTCTGCTCTATTCAATAAATTTACCCTTTTGCAGTCATTTTTTGGTATGAAAGGTGTTGTCTTTGTCATGAAATTTGTCAAAAGCAGCAGGATTGACAATAGATGAAACCTGTCAACGAGTCTCACTCCAGTTTAGACCTGTTTTTCTACAATACCACCAGATGGCACTACTAAACTCAAAAATACCTCCAGGATTACACATACTGCCTGTCACTGCAAGCTTTTTTTTGGTGACATATGTTATTGAAGATTTAGCCTCTCAGAGAAGTGAAACAGTGTCAGGTGTCAGAACCCAGACTGGTGAAAATAGCAGGGGGACTGTTTTATTGATGAATGCCATAATCAATTTACAAGCTAATGTGGAGAAGTCATAACCGTCCACCCTTGAACTGCACTGTTTTTGCGTCACTTTGCAGCTTCATCAAAGCAACCACTGTCCAGATTTGGCTGTTGAATGGCACCTTATCATCTCAAGCACTGCCTGCGGATGTAGAAGAATATATTCACTGTGTGTGATTTAAGTAACTGACTAACATTATACTGAGTAAAGTATTTTTTTCTGATTGTACTGCCCTTGGTAACACTTTATTTGGAGAGTCTGCCTACAGTTGACGGAGCATTTGTAACATTTCTCAGAATAATTTAGTTGAACTTAAACTATCCACTTAGTCTATGCTGCATAAGTTGAGCAAGTAGTTCAAGTTGAATTGAATTATTCTGTGAATAATTAGGTATGTTCATGAATAGTCACATATTCTCTCCATATAATCTGCAAAACACCTACAGAATACAGCAAAAGTGTTCAGTTTAAATTTATACGCTGTTAAAATGTTACAAATACTCTACAAACTACCTGTAGGTAGACTATCTGCTTCTTTTTACCTGTGCTCCAACACGTTTCAGAGGGAAATATTGTAGTTCTTACTTCACTACATTTAAATTTAAAAACACACGATCAGCGTATGAAATAAAATTCATTGCTAAAGACTGATCCAGTGGCTCCCAGACTTTTTGGCCTGTGACCCTCACTAAAATAAAAGTATTCAGTTGGGGCCCTTTATCACACCTTTCAGATGTATGTTAGTTGTTATAAGTTACACTAAACATCTCAGCTGTTACAAACATTACAAACTTTATTTTGTCTTATTTACCATCTCGTGTCAGACCCTGAGTTTGGACCACATGTATACTTTATATAAAGTAGTTAAGTAGGCACTTTGACTTGTTCTTTCACACCTATAAATTAATTGCAATGCTACAATATGTAAAAATAATAATAGTAATGCCAGCTTAACATGAAATCTGAATGGCTGTAGTTTTGGCTGTGATTACAGACACTCTTCAGTGGATTCTTATCTTATCAGCTGAGCTCCAGGACGGCTCAGTGATACTGGAGTGACTTCACTACAGTAACACTGCAGCAGGTGGATATCTGACTGTCCCCCATGCAGGGGCCGGTTGGCTGGCTGGCTTGCTGACTGACTGACTGGGTAGGAGTGCCAATCAGGAGAGGTTTTATGACACTGAAAGTAGATCGAAGTCCACTTGTGGGCCTCAAACAACCATCAGTCCACCGGGGCTGTTTGGCCTGTCAGCTGGCCTTTCTCTGGCTCTCCTGCGGTGTCTGTCTGGTCTCTGCGACAATGAAGATCCGGCTGGGCTGACTCTGAAGCTCAAGTACCATCAGCCAAAATGGACCTACCTAATTATCACCCACAGCAGCCACAGCCACTTGTACACCACCCTGGCAACTATCCAGAGGATCCTATAACTTTGGAAGGACCGTCAACATGTGAGTATAATCTAGGTAGATGGTGCCCTTGTATACAGCTTTCAGAAGATATTCTTTGAACTTTACATTATTATAAAGATATCAGTGTTTTAAATGTCTTGTTTTAAAGTTCAGAGTTTAAAGTACAGCAGTGTCTGACGTGTAAAAAAAAAAAGTGGTGCAGAAATGTTATTGATCACGTTTATGTGGAAATCCACATTTATAGAATTAAAGGCATGAAAGTGGTTCATTGTTTTGCTACAGATTTTTATATGGGAGACTGGTTCTTGTGGAGGTCATAACCCATAATCGGTAATCGCTGGGAATTATGTAAGGGTCATATCTCTGATCATCGTCAAGCAAATCATGTTTAGTGATAAGGTACTGTCTCTAACAGAGGGATAGTCATGTACTACTCGCTATTCTCTCAACAGCTGAGCAATAAACCTCATTAGATGACACACTTATGTCAGCAGCACTCGACCGCCAGACATATTATCAATTCAGAATCTTCTCTGTGGCTGATTTAAAGGGATAGTTCACCTCAAAATCAAAAATACATAACTTTCCTCCCAGCTGTAGGGCCATTTATCAGTCTTGATTGTTTTGGTGTGAGTTGCAGAGTGTTGGAGATATCGGTAATAGAGATGTCTGCCTTCTTTCTAATATAATGGAACTAGACGACACTCGGCTTGTGTTGCTTAAAGCGCCAAAAAATACATTTGAAAAAGTCAACAGCAATGTCTCTCTCCAGAAACCATGACCCGGTCACTCAAGATAATCCTCAGACCAGCTGCATGTAGGAACTACTTTCTTTCTACCAAACTACACCCCCCAACCGTATCACTGCAAAGAAGGAAGTTTTCATCTACTCGGGGATTAGAGGCTCGTGCTTTTGACAGCGCAAGATGTAAACATTAACAAAGTCCTCCTCGGCTGAGCTGTAACATTAGCTAGCTCAGTGGTGCTGGGTGAGCTAGCAGTAGATGCACTCTTCCTTTCGCACAGTGATAAAGCTGGTGGTTGTAGTTTGGTAGAAAGAAAACAGTTCCTACATGAAAATGCTCATAACAAGGTCTTTGGATTATCTTGAGTAATCAGGTCAGGATTTCTGTAAAGAGATACTGATGTTGTGTATTTTTTGGCCCTTTGAGCACCACAGTCCAAGTGCCATCTACTTCCATTATATTAGAGAGCAGGCAGACATCTCTACAGCCGGTATCTCCAACACCTGGCAACTCACACCAAAACAATCTAGAGTGATAAATAACGCTACAGGTAAGAGGAGAAGGATATATTTTTGATTCAGGGTTAAACTTTCCCTTTAAGATATTACCTGCACCGAGAGGATGAGATGTTTGTGTCACACTGTATATTTGACATTCAGTGTTAATTGTGGTGTCTTCCTCCAGCGCAGGAATTAAAGACAGAGCCAGACAGCAGAGCAGATTCAGAGGAGAGCTGTCCCATCTGTGGAGACAAAGTATCAGGGTACCACTATGGGCTGCTCACTTGTGAAAGCTGCAAGGTAAGAGATAGGGGTTTGACCAGTCCATGGAGAAATATTTATCCTCAAACAGCACCACAGGATACCATGGTGTTGTAGTATAGACCAACTAGCCATAGCCAACTACTATAGAGCTAAGATAAATTATGTCTGTAACTATAATGATGCATATTTTATACTGTCAGAGAATGAAGCAAAGTCTGTCTCTCTACAGGGCTTTTTTAAACGCTCAGTGCAGAATAACAAGCATTACACCTGTGCAGAACAACAGAGCTGCCCCATGAACCTTTCGCAAAGGAAACGTTGTCCTTTCTGCCGCTTCCAAAAATGTTTGGCAGTGGGAATGAAGAGAGAAGGTACAACTTGTATTCTGCTCTACTGCTCTTGTGCTCCACTGACATTCATGTTCTTTTCTCCCATATGACTTATCTAAAAAGTCATAAACCAGTGCTGTAATGACCCAGATTATAAATTACGACTTTGTATCTGAGTCCTCACAGTGGAGTGGGCATATTGTTAGTTTTATAAACAAAGTCATCTAAGGTAGTGTTTGAAATCTTGTGGTGAAACTTTTGTAATTTGTTACATGTTGTGTCAACAGCGGTAAGAGCAGATCGTATGAGAGGTGGCAGGAATAAATTTGGCCCTCTGTACCGGCGGGACAGGCAGATGAAACAGCAGAAGGTGTATCACCAGGCAAACACTGCTCCCTACAGGATTAAGATGGAAACTACTCAAACACACCCGTCCACAGCTCCAAGTGACCCTCACCTTATCAGCAGTCACACAAGTGCTCCATTGTCTTCTGATGCTTTTCATCAGACCCACATGTATCCCCCTGGCATAGGGCAGTCAGGTGCGCCCATGCCTCTGGACTGCACCATGAGCGCAGAAAGGGTGCTCACACCTCTACCGCTGCCCTACCCTGGATTGTACCACCGCACCTTCCCTGGATACTTCCAGGAGAAAGGAGAAATGCCTTTTAGCTACAGCCCGGCTCCTTCAAACTATACAGTGCACCCAACTCAGAACAATTCATTCACACCAAGAAGCACACCAGCATCATCCCCCTGCTCAACGCCAAGCTCAGTCACCCCGCAGCCACCCCAGGCTTCCACCCAAAACCCAGACACCTCTTCATCAGCCCCTCTTACACCCAGCTTCCTAAGCCATCTCCTGGAGGGGGAGCCAGATGAGAGCCAGCTGTGTGCCAAGGTCCTCACCACTCTGCAGAGAGAACAGGCCAACCGAGGCAAACATGACCGCCTTAATACATTCAGCATCATGTGCAAAATGGCTGACCAGACTCTGTTTGGGCTTGTGGAGTGGGCTAGGAACAGTACACTCTTCAAGGAGCTCAAGGTAATGAAACATGAAATTCTAAAGTTATATAGACCTTTTTGCTGTAATGGAAATTGGCTGTGTGAGCAGACTCCTTACTGGAGGTCAAAGATCACAGCATTTAATTTGTAACTACATCGGATCAATTTTTTTTATGCCTCCCACAGGTGGAGGACCAGATGGTGCTGCTGCAGAGCTGCTGGAGTGAGCTCCTTGTCCTGGATCACCTCTGTAGACAGGTGGCCTATGGCAAAGAAGGCTGCATATATCTGGTCACAGGACAACAGGTAAAGTTAACAGCACACAATGATGAATTTCTACTAGCATCAAAAATGTCTTTGGATAGAACATTATGTGTTCTTTTGTTGTTCTGCTGCACAGAAGCTTTCAGTCTGATCATCACCTTTCTTTCATTCTGATGCAGATTGAGGTGTCGACCATCATCTCCCAGGCAGGAGCGACACTGAGCAGCCTGGTATCGAGGACCCAGGACTTGGTGTCCAAACTGAAGGGATTCCAGCTGGACAGACATGAGTTTGTCTGTCTCAAATACTTGGTGCTATTCAACCCTGGTGAGCTTTTCCTTTTGAAGGTGTAGACAATTTATAGAAGATACAAATCCAGTGTGGCCTCTTGATCAACTTTGTGACCTCTCATTTGTACATTTTGTCAATTTTAGGGGGAACAGGGGATCTTTAGGGTGAGATTGCAAGTCAACAGTACAGCGTCAAGTTTTTCTAGTCATAACTATGCAGTAAACATTGTGTTTTGGTTAAATACCTGTTCGAACTTTGAAAGTTTAGAGTATATGTATTGGGGGTTATAAATTGTTGCAGCACTGTTTTGGTTAATACCATTTGTTACACAGATTTGGTGCTAAATGGAAGCAATGATTTGTCGAAAATGGTCAAAAATCCTTCCAAAATACCACAGTAATACACTAAGACCTTGAGGAACAACATAGAAAAATCTATGCTGTGATCTGGACCTTTGGAAATTTCTGTAAGAATTGCATGTTTTGGCGATGGGATGGCAAGCACTTCTGTTTTGGAAACTGACTGAAAAACCTCCTTATTGTCATGTCATTGACCTATGAAAAGCACCAAGGTCTCTAGTTTGTGGTTTCAAAATCTCATGAGGCTGTGATTATCCCAGAGGTCAGAATAAGTCATTGTATAAAGAGAGGACAAGTTTAAAAAATGACCTTACTACACTGTAATGGCTACCATGGGGGCTAACAACATCACAGACGAATAGAATTAGGCTCATTGAATCCACAAGGCTCTCAGCTTTCCAGTCATACCCAATTTATACAATTCCAAGACTGTTTAGGGACCATAGTGTGCAGAAATATTCAAATACACAACTTTTAGAATAGGCAAAATGAACACATCTGTACCTCGCGAGAAAAACTGCATTGTACTAGCATAAAGTTGGCATGTCTGCAAATGGGAGACTTGTGGGTTTCCACAGAGACCATTTCCATTCAGATATCTTGAGGTGAAAGGTTCAGGGACCTCTATGAAAATGGTCATGCCAGTTCTCCCCTTGCCAAAAGTGTCAGTATCCTCAAAGAGTGGAAGAGGCTTAAGTCATGCATGCAGCTTCCCTTAGCATTGAGGGTGTGTACATGTATATACTGTGTACTGATGAGAAACCTGCCACTTATCTTCTCTCTGGTCTAGATGTGAAGTCACTGCAGAACCGCAGGCAGGTGGAGCAGACACAAGAGAGAGTGAACAGGGCCCTGATGGAGCACACGCAACAGAGTCACCCAAGGCACTCAGACAAGTTTGGCCAACTGCTGCTCCGGCTTCCTGAAGTACGCAGCATAAGCTTGCAGGTTGAGGAGTATTTGTACCAGCGCCATCTTCTGGGAGATTTGCCCTGCAACTCTCTGCTCACTGAGATGCTGCACACCAAGCACAACTGAGGAGATGCTGCTGTATATTCAAGCCCCGGTGGCAAAGCTTGAGTTTACTGCTGTGAATTTTTGTACCTACTTTTGGCCCTTCAGACACAACTCATATTGTTGTTGCAAGTAGTAAACTGGCATCCTCTCTTAAAGATCAGTACTGAAGGGTAATTTTATAACATCTCATACTTTGCTCAAGTGCCCATTATTAACAGTATTACCACAGCCAAACAGCCCAGTAAATATTTGTTTCTGTCAGTATTGTTGGACAGATTTAAGATCCAAGCACTACCATTTTGTTTCTAATAGGCAGAAAGTGCTCAGCTGCGTAAAAACAGGTGAAAAATGCATCATTGAATAAATAAAAGTGGTTTCTGGATGTGTCGATATGTACTCAAAACCCATAACTGCATTAAAGGTCCAGGTGTGTAGGAATTAGGGGAATGTATTGGCAGATATGTAATATAATAAGTATGTTTTCTTTAGCATATCATCATCTGAAAATAAGAATTGTGTTTTTGTTACCTTAGAAAGAGCGGTTTATATCTGTATGGGGAACAGGTCCTCATCCTCAGAGTCTGCCATGTTGTACCACCATGTTTCTACAGCAGCCCAGACAAAACAAACACTGGCTCTAGATAGGGCCATTTACATTTTCACATCGGCCACCGTAGTTAGCACTCCCTCTGTGAGAAGTAGCATCTGAAGATCACTTATATTTTTAAGGTGAAACTTCTCCAGTGTTCTTACCAGTTTAAATCCCTGATTTGCTTTGGAGAGGAAAAGGACTCTGGATCTTAAGTTATCAGGGGAAAAAAGATGAGAATACATTAGTAGGTGCTGGGTTGGCAGCCTGTCTTAGACGAGCTGGACAGCATCGGAGAAACACTTGATTTGTAAAGGGAAACTGCTTAATCATGGTACACTTGTTTTGGAAAGGAAGAGATCTTTTTTTTTTTCTAAGATATTTTTTAGGGCATTTTTTTTGCCTTTAATTGATAGGATAGTGAAGTGTGAAGGGGGGGGGACATGCAGCAAAGGGCCACAGGCTGGAGTCGAACCTGGGCCGCTGTACATGGGGTGCCTGCTCTACCACTAAGCCACCGATCTCTAGATGCCACTGAATCCCCCTAAATATTACACACTACTGCTTTAAAGTGTGTATCAACATTAAAACACATTAGTGTGGCTCTCTTCTGCTCCGTCACTGTTTCTCCAGCAGAAATTTGCCATCACTCATAGGCTAAGTGGCTTACACTGATATCAGCTGCACACATTGGAAATTCTAATGACAAAAAATGCAAATGGGAAAAGAAATATGGGAACGACAAAACATAGATGATGATGATTTTAAAAGGATTTTTATTTCGTCTGGTCCAGTTGCCAAGGAGAGTAAATTTATGAAATGATCATACATAATGTGCTGGCACAGATTCGATAACAGAAAAGAAAGAAAACAACATAAATGTTATGACAACTTCTATGAAATGAATGAGAGACTTACCACCTTAACCAAAAAAAAAAAAGACAAAAGTAGAACCTGAAACTAAACATCAAATGCACCATCTAATGCAAACCAAATAAATACACCTCTGGGTGACGTGGGGAGCTCTAGGGGAGAATTGCACAGAATCAAAATATAGTGTTTAACTACCACATACTAACACATAAATACAAACATCCACTTATTCCATGTGCACTCCTTCACTCACACTTTTAATCAATCATCTTTTTTCCTACACGATGTGGTCGCCTTTTTTTGTTTTCACATCTGTATCTGAATCTCATTCGAACGACGCGTTTGTTGGAGGCAGTCAGTGATTTGAAAGTAGACAGCTGCACCGCGGCAGCTGCTGTAGTGCTTACGACCGCAAATGAAGGGAAGAAGGCCAATTTCCCACAGGTTTTGTGGTGACCTAATCACAAGCGACTGTAGGGTCAAGTGTTTCACCTAACAGGGTGGACACTAGCAAAAAAATATATTGGCGTTTTACATTCCTCCAGATATACATGAAGGAGTCTCTTAAGACTGCGAAGAAGATGAGGGCTGTTACAGTCCGAAATGATCCTTCATTGAGAAACCTACTGTTTCTATGCAGCAGCACACAAACAGGGAATCATATCATAGGAAACAGACTCCCAGTGAGCTAAAGGATTTATTAATCCCTAGAACAAAAGGTTTCAGCAATTTTCAGTTGTTTGACAATTTCTTTTCATTCTCATACTCTCATTCTCATCTCAAACATACATCTCACTAATGCTTAAGCAGCAGGCTAGCTTATTCGTAGCTTACAAAGGTCAACTTACTTTTTACAAATCATTGTCAAAAAAAAAAACAAAAACAAAGTAATCAGCATTCAGTATATATTAAATCAGCATTGATTATCATTTTCACACAGAGCCGTATCCAAGTAATGATAAACATGGTAAAGCCCTCCTTCATGTTTTCCAGTTTTGTTTTTCAAGATATGCTCAGATAACATTTCAATTCATCACATGTCAAAAAATGAGAAAGCAAGGTAAGAGGGGGAAAAAGTCACATGAATGTCATTCTTCTTTCAGCTCTCAAAGGCTGAAGCGATTTGTCCAGCAAAAAACATGTCAAAATAGTATAAAAAAACATCCAGATGTCTACAGCTGAAGGAATGGAGTGGAATGCGCATACTGTGGGGGTACGGGCAGTTTCTAGGTGTGCATGTCCACTGACAACCACAGTAGCCGCTGCCAGTGCGGCCCACAGAGGAACCACCCACTATGGTGTTTTCTGGTCCCGACCGACCAGTGAAAACACCCTTGAATGGAATGAGTGGTTAGTGTGTGCCCTACATTCATATGAGAGCAGCATTTACCTGCTATTTATTTTCAGCTAGGATCTCCTATCAGAACTGAGAGCTGAGCCACTCGTCTCAGTAGACTAGAGAGAGAGTGAGCCCTGGAAGAAGAAGAAGTAGAAGAAAAGGCAGCAAAAGGAAAAGCAAGCAGACTTGAGAGGGGGTGTGAACTACTCTGGCCCAAAATACTGTTAAGCGGGCAAAGGCAGTGTGGTTGTCCCCTCCTTTTCTTACCTAAGAGTTGCAAAAATGACTCCTGGGGGCAGGGTAAGGTAAGGCATGAGGAGGCAGGGTGCAGGGGAAAGAGAATTCTTCATCCCAACAGAATCAGTCGCATTACATTTTACAATCTAGGTAGACGAGGCAGAGCCAATCAGAAGCCCTCAAGAGAGAAACTACTGTAATTACATTGGCTGAATGAGTGAGTGATTGGCCCTTTCCTCTTGGCGTGTACAGTTGATGGGATTGTTCTCAGGGTCCAGGTCGATAGCTGGCCAAAAGCCGAGTCAGTCATGCTGTCCACTGCGAGTTTAAGTGCGTAATGCACCATCTCAAGTGCCTCACTGGCCAAAATCGAGGACAATAGGAGTCAAGTTAGGAGTTGGATCCCTGAATGGTAACTTCTCCGCCCATCTACCCGACTTTATTTGGGAGTGCCAAGCTTCTTGGGAGTTCCTGGACGCTTTTGCCAGAAGTGACCAGGGATGGTGAAGGCGTCAACACTCATAGACATAGTTTTGGACGGGATGACAGTGAACTGCTTGCGGTCAGAGCTGTACTTGTAAATGGACTCAACCATCTCAGGTGTGATGATCCGGGGGCCGATGCCAGTGAGCCGCTGCATCTCCTCGGTTTCAGGGTTCATGGTGTAAACTGCTCTGAACTGGCAGCTCGTATCTCTGAAGAGGATGAGGAAGTGGTTGGCCGTGCTCGTCTCCATTTCCTGAGGAGAGAGAGACAGAATAAGAATAAACAACAAGGTGAGTGTAGGGTTGGATGATATATCAGTTATACTTGATGTCTCGTGGCTTGTACCATGGAGGATGTATAAAGTGACTATATTGCAAACGTCGAGTATAATCTGTCACTTATTTTTTTAAGCCACCGACATAAGACTCACTTTGACATTTGGATTCTCTCACTCTCTATATGGCTCTCTCCCTCTCACAGATACACACAAAAAAAAGAAAGACTCACGAACTGGCCACATCACACGCACTTCCCATCCAGACAACTCTCTCCTTTATTTAACTTTAATAGAACAATATTTTATATAACTTTATTGAAACAGTACTTAATGTAACTTAATTATAACACTATTTATTCATGTTTACTGTTACAGTAATTTATTAAACTTATCATAACACTACTATATTCAACTTTACTGTAACAGTAAATTTACTTAATTTATTATAACAATCTTTAAGTTAACATTATTATAGTAGTACTTAATCTAACATTATTGTAACACTTTATTTATCTTTACTGTAACAGTTATTAATGTAACTTTATTATGACACTACCTAATTTAACTTTATTATAGTAGTACTTAACGATATTGTAACACTACTGTATTGAACTTTACTGTAACAGAAATCAGTTTAGTAGTTTAGCATATTAGTAGTCTATAGTATTTTGGAGGAGATTTCAAAATAACAATAGCCCTATGTGAGTGCCACTGACACCTGAGATCCCAGTCACTCATAGCCTAGTTAGGGTGGACCTCTGTGTTGGACTCTGAAACAGTGGGATGGCTTACCTCTACAATCTTGTTTTTCTGTGGTTCATTCACCTTCCCAGCCAGGCAGCAGCGGGTGATAGCATTATGAATGATGAACTTGTTGGACTTAAAGCTCGGCTCCTTGTACAGCTTTGGTCCTGCAAGACAGTATGTCCAAATCCAATAAGAAAAAATTACCACTGGATTCATTTTTTTTTTTAAAATAATCTAATTTAGTATGGAATATACTGCTGACCTGTGTATTCTGGGATTGACGCAGGAGAGGAAATAGTTGAGCCATTCTCCCAGTCCTTCTCTCTGTTGTGAGCACTCCCTCGTCCTGGTGACATCAGCCGGGAGGGAGAGTGTGAACGGCTGGAGGGAGAGAAAAAAAGAAAGCTTAGTGAGGAAAGTCAGGTATAGACCTTGAGGCTGTGTTGACATGTTATATGTTACATGTACCTTTGCCCCCAATAACAGCTACCACAAAACTTGTAGTAGTTATATACATTAACACACACAGAATACTTTTGATATCAATATTCTAACAATATTTCATGGAACGCAATTAGTGCTGGCAGAAAATATTTACAGACGATCAACGTTAATCTAGACACAATCAACAAACAGAGGTAATTAATGTTAATTTCACTCCACTGAATCATAGTTTACCTCGTGTAATCAGTGTAATGATGTACAGTGTTTCCCAAATGTATGAAATACACTTGTGGTGGTAGCTAGTGGAAATAGCTAGCACAAAAATGGTCTACTTCATGTGACAAACATGTGGTGTGACCTTTATCACAGTATTTTGATTCATTGTTATTTCCACTAATGTCATCTACATTACATCATTATGCTCTTGTCTAATCACAAGTAGAGCTAATCTTCTAACTGTCTCCATCTGTCTGTCTGCTTGTGTGTGTCTGTGTGTCTTCTTGACTCTCTCCCTCTCTGCTTAGACACAACTTGCAAATGTGGAATAAGCAGGCAATGCAATTTAAAACACACTATCACAAACAGCAGTGATACTAGACTACTTCTCATAGATACAATGGATGGGCAGACTATGGGGGGTAAAAATCAAGGGAATTAAAACTCCAGAACAGCAGGGAAAGGGGCAGGAAAGTCAAAAGGGTCGGAAAGTATGGGATGCATATTTTATCATTTGGCAAAATCAGATTTTAGGGCTGTCAAACGATTAACTTTTTTCCTTCATATTGTTCATAATAGAGTCTATCAGTGTGTTTTCTGGCCCAATGTCCTAATGGCTTACAGAGACATAAACCAGACTGTCTCCCAGTTGATATGTGTTCCCCCCTGCCTAAATCTGAACCAACCACAGAGGGGGGGCTCCACAGGAAGCATCATGTTAGCAGAGGGTAAACACTGTTCGATGGGGGAACAGAAGTTGACACAACATTGGTGCTACGGGGAGCTTCCGCCTTAGCCACAGTAGCAGAACAAACAGGTACATGAGGCATAGGGCGAGGGGAGATTGCCCACTACTTAGTCAACTGCAGATGGCGTCGCTCTCTTATACAGAACTAAAAATTAAAAATGCCAAAATGGGTCGCCAAAAAAAACTTTTGCAGCAGGGGGCCCACCCGAGTCTACGTGTGGGAAACACTGTTATATTTCCCAACTCTGCATTATTATATGAAATTTACTCACATGATGTAAAATACCCTTTTCATTTCTTTATTGGACATAAAATAATCAGAATTCTGTTTAAGGCTGAATTTTTTGCCTCTGACTTTCCAGACTACGAGCCGTTGTCACTGTGCAGGTTACCTTGGAGATTTCCTGACGGACAGCCCTCCAGAATCATTCGCCATGGAGGACAGGTTCATGGTTGAGTGGGAGTACACCTTGTTCAGCCTGGTGCCTAGAGGGAGAAAAAAATGGTAATGAGAAACTAAATACAAGTGAGCGTAGGATGAGTGCATGAGACCACGGTGGTTAAACATCAGACCCACTTACCCATGAAACCCTTGGCGGGACTATGAGAGAGGACGGAGTCATCTCTGAACACAGTCTTGGGTCTCTGCTTCTTGACACCGCGAACCGTGGTCGGTTTCTGCCTCAGAACCTTGTCCAAGTCTTCCATGATCTTCAGCTGCTGTCTCCTCTCATACTCCTGCCTTGTGAAGTCTCCTCTGCGCTGGGGAGTACCCTCAACTGGTGGGGTGCGTGATGCTGGAGGAGTGCCTGGGGTCTGGGGTCTGTCCTCGTTCTTATTCCCCCAGCCCTCAATGATCATCCACTGAGGCTTGCTAAAAGTACAAGAAGATGATTGGTAAAACGTTCAATGTGTGACACTGACATTGCAAAATCTGTGATAAAAACATGAGAATACTGATATATCAGACATGTAATGGACACAATTTGTTTAATTCACTAAACAAAAGACAATAAGTAGATAAGTCCTGATCATCATCATCAGTTATATGCTGGAAAACCTTATCCAAAGCAATGTTCAAACTTTAAAAACGTGATCAATTTTAATGCAAGATTTTAAGTCTTCATTTGTTTATGAATACAGGAGCCTCTCACTTTGATTCTTTCTCTTTTTCCTGCTCAAGCTTGCGTCTCTTCATCTCCTCTGCTCTCTTCTGCTGTTTCTCCAACAAAGCTGCTCTTCGCTGGGCCATCTCATCCTCTGGTCGCTCCTTGTCATCCTAAAGAAGACAGAAATAAACATACATGAATTCAGTGATTTTACAAAAATGACAAATTTAGAAAAGCACATACAGAACCTAATAATAATCAGTTACCTACCTTGAAAAAGAAACCAACTCCTCCTTTCGTCTCTGGCTCTGTACGGTCGCTCATCGAGTCAGAGAAAGCGTCAGGTACTTGGTCATCCTCCTCCGCGTCCCCTCGCAGAGAAGACAGCGAGATCTCTATTAGGCTGCTGCGTTTGCCATTAAGCATCGCTGCAGGGACATCGCTCTCAAAGGAACACTCTGATGGGGCACCAGAGCTGCAGGCCCTGATTTCAAGCCCCTCTCTCTTAGGCAAAGGACCATGGGAGGGCCCGGCCTCCAAGTCCATGCTAAATATACTATGGTCGTCATTGGAGCCTACCTCTGACAAAGTTTCATCCACAGCAGGACGAGGAGTCGGGACAGGAGTTGGTACAGGAGTTGGTACAGGGGTCAGAGTCGGTGTGGGGACAGGAGTTGGTGTGGATGAGCGCAGCCTGTCTAGGCTGTCAGAATCACCAATGGAGAATGAGGACAAAGTCTGGTCATGGGATTGCCAGGGATTTACACGACGAAGGTGAGGGATGCGGTCCACGTTTTGAGGTGCGGTTATAACCCTCGACAGGGTTGGGACCTTTACGTCCATTGGGCGACTGTGTTGGTGGTGTTTGGGGCTTTTAGGGGGCACAGATTGGGCTCTGCGATGGACTTTAGGGGATTTAGGAGGAGTGGTGTAGTTTGTGATTTTGCGGGATGGAGACGGAGAGGAGGAGGCTGAATTTAAATCTCGAGTGGATTCCCGTGACAGGCGTGCAGGGGGTGCCGGGGTGGAGGTTTTTGGGCTGGCTGGAATGACCCAGGATTTGTTGTTGGGAGTTACAGCTTTTTTCTGGATTAGCTGGTTCTGCTGCTCGGTCAGCCTTTGCATGTCACTTTGCAGAGAGGTAAGAGCTGCAGTCAGCTTGGATACTGCATTGTTATAGTCCCCTAGTGGAGCTACTGTTTTCTCACCAGGAGTCCCCGAGCCCTTCTCTCCTGGTGTACCTGCCTTGTCTTTGGAGTGACTGACCTGTTTGTTGAGCTGAAGTCCTCCTTTCAGATTACCCTTATCGTCCACAGAGGGGTGCTGTTGGTCCTGTTCCTGCTGCTCTTCCTCTTCCATTCGAGCGAGCCTTTCTTCCAGTGTCAAGCGAGAGAGGTCTTCTTCTGTGGATGAGGTGCTGACCTGGCCGTCCCCTCCTTCCCCCTCGCCATTGTCCTCACGCTGCTCCTTCTTTAATTGCAGAAAGGCACTCTTACCTAGTCTTTGCCGGTGCTTTGCAAAAATGGCCTCAATGCGTTTCTTCTGGGCTTCGATAGCCTTGCGCTTTTCTTCAAGCCGAGTTCCCAGCTCAGACACCTCATTATTGAGTTGTGGGCTCTTGCTGGGGCTTTCTTCAGACTTTTGTGCCCACGAGGTCATCAGAGGAGAAGAAGAAGAGGGGTCGCTGGCTTTGGGAGAATCCATAATCTGCTTCTTTTTGCGTTCTGCAAAGCTGGTCATCTTTACACCACTATCAGACACATCTTTGCCATGGCCTCTGGCAGGATGTGCACCAGCAGCCGGTGTGGTTGGAGTGGACTGGGCCTTAGGCAGGTCTTCTGATGCATCTGAGTCCACACTGCCGTCTCTCAAGACCGAGTCATCATCTCGTGAACATTCAGAGGTGTTTCTTATGCGAGTGGGCTCCTTGGGCTCTCCCGTGGGCCGGTACATCATTCCTGAGCGTGTAGGGGCAGAGCAGCTGATGGGTGCTAAGTTGTTATGTCTAGAACTAGCAGGATCATCAGGTGAGTGGAGGTAGAAGCCATCAGGAGCACCATCCGGGTGTAAACGGGGTTCCATCTTGCTCTCGTTGTGGATAATTTGAAGAGCCTCTTCAATGGTAGGCAGCTCTCCCGCTTCACTCGCTGCAATGCCATTCTCTTCTGCCAACCTTGGAATTCCGGGAGTCTGTGTGGCCCAAGAAGCTCTCTGTGGACCATTGGGACCAGGAGGTTTGCTCAGCAAATGGCTGAGGTCTTCAGGAGGAGTGTAGGGTACCCGGGTCATGTTTTGGCCTGCTGGGTTGAGTTGGTCTGAGCTCACAGAGCGGGTTATCACAGGGTTGCCCATCACAATGTCCACATCACTGTCCAGGCCAAAAGGAATGCTGAAGGATACTGCTGACAAGGGGCGGCTGAGAAGAAAAATAAGCAAATGTAAGAACAATAAAAATACTTAAAAAAAAGTGTTTAAATGGTACTGTATATAGGGGCCCTACCTGAGAGGTTTCTTGCTCCATGTCTTTCCAACTCCTTCTATATGAGACATTGAGGTAGACTGAGTCAAAGATCCTGAGTACAATGGGGGACACACAGACACGTAAAGGCATGCAAACCACACAGGGATGCACAAATCAAGCAATACAACAATAAAAGGGGAAAAAAATATGTACAAAAGTCTCACATTTCCATCAAATGAAGAAAACAAAGACTGTAATACAACACAAAACACAACTAAAAGACACACAGGGATTGAGGGAAATAGGTAAACCACATTGTAAAATGACAGAAACATATACAAAACACTGAAGCTTGATGTAATGATGACAGGACACTGTCTTAATCTTACCTGACGCAGGAGAGGAGATGGGGAGGAAAGGCTTCTTGAAAATAGAAGGGGAGGTACTGTAAGGCAGAGACACAAACTTTCAGTTTGAATAAATGCTTCAACCAAACAATAAACCAGACTATTACAAAAGCTAAATCATATTCAGAGAGCTTCTGTACCTGCTACCAGTCAAGCTACTTGGAGTTACTGGTGCGGATCCATCTAAGAAAAAAGACAAACCCCAGTCAGACTTTGTATTGATTGATATTTAATGTAATGATCTTCCTTGTGGGATTACACAACCTTACACAGCACCACAAAACTTATGACACTTACCCAATGTGTCTATTGGCTGAACAAATTCTGGCCTTCGTACTTCAAACCAGCTGAGCAGTTCTGCTAGGAAGCTCAGCAAGTTGACCTGAACATAGACAAATAAAATCAGGCTTTAAGGAAACAATACAGTGCTCAATATTTTTTTTAATGTGTCAATCTGTTGAGTAATGATCAGGGGCTGCATTCACAAAAGGTTCCTAGCACAAACAGTTGCTCCTTGTGATGAAATCCTACAAGAATTCTACAATTATGACAGAATTTTTCCTTACAGTTAAGACCATATCCTTGTAAAGATAGAAATTACTCACAAAGAGAAAGAGAGCTCCTAAAATGAAAAAGTGTTAGGGGAGGGAAGAGGAATTTTAAGGTGTTTAAGATTTTCTTAAGCAGAATAAAATGCTGCCTGCTGTTCAAGGCAGGAATGTCGCACTGTTGTTCTGCTTCGCCGTTCTGTATAAAAGGTACGATCACAGAATGTGGGGACGCAGTTGTCTCGCATTAAGCTGGCAGCCCAGGTACTAACAGCGCTGAATCGATGTCTGTGTAAAATGGACACCCAGCAAGATGGGACCAGGATGGATGTGACAGATATAAAAAACAGCTACCAGCCAACTCAAAAAAGAACGGTGACAGAAAATGTCTGCAAACTGAAAGGGCAATAAGGTCCGCGAGCTCCTTACCATCCGTTACTGCCATGTTATGCCATTGTCATTGTTTAGAAAACGCGATGTGATGCATATATGTCACATTAGAGACCAATGTTGTTGTGTTACATGCCACACCTGTCATGCCTCTTTTGATTCCAGGACACCGGCATGCCATCTAAACTCACACACAGGAGTGGCATTATGCCTGTATTGTTTGGGTGTGTAAAAAGGCTTGTGAGTTCATGAAACGCTACAGATGAAATGGTTAAAGAATAATAGTTGTAGTCAATGTCATGAGAGATGCACTTACATCTCCAAATTAACGCAATGACTCCATAACGCCAGAAATAAAAGTGATCACTACGCTAAGATATTTGGCAACTGTAAAATGCGACAGTGCCGCAGTGATGACTTCAGTCTGTCTCAACCTTCCATCAGCAAAGTGATCACACTAACAATGACAGGGCTTTCTCTCAGTCTCATATTGTGACGCAGTTCGTTTCGTTTCCACTGGGTGTCCACACCTTGCAGGCTCACAAAAGGACAACCAATCCCACCTTTTAAATGACTGCATCACACATAGCAACGGGGTCAACCACACCTCCTCATTAAGGTTAAAGTTTCTGTCACTTCCTTGTCCCTCCCTTACTTTCCTAATTCACTCATGAGCTAGGACTCTTTGCTAGGAGGTTTTATGCTAAGTGAGCAGCTCTCTGAGAGTATACGTAGAATGTTTGTAAATACAGCCCCAGGAGTGTGAATGTAGGTACCTGAAGCTCCTGTGGTGTGTAGAGCATGTCCTCCAGCGCCAAGTGACAGCAGCTCTTCAGACAGCTGTCACAGAATTCATGGATGAACTGCAGGTTGTAAAGGCTGTCTGCTACAGACATGGACTCCTTCATACAAACATCTTACAGAGAGAGGTGGAAAAAAATAGTTACATTGATGTAAACACATTAGCAACTAAAAACATGTTTGTGGTTACAACATCTGTTGGTACCTTCAAGTCTTAGCAGGCCAGGGCAATAATAATGTATGACTGCAGCAACAGCACAACCAGTGGACAGGTCTTTGACTTCATTCACCACTGGAAAAATAGGCGTGTGTTTGGACTGTATTTTATCCTTCCTGTAGCGGAGCTGAACAAAACAAACAAACAAACAGGACAGTCAAATACTGAAATGTGACCTTTGGTCTTTTTGTTAATGTTTATGCAACCCTAGGTCCAAAAAAGAAGGGACGCCGTGTATACTGTAAATGAAAACAGAATGCATTTATTTGCAAATCCCTTTTGACCTCAATTAAATTAAAAACAGCACAAACACAAGATATTTAATATTTATTTAATGTTCAAACTGATTAACTTTACTGGTTTTTGTAAATATGCCGTAATTCTGAGTTTGATGCCTGCAACACATGCTAAAAACTTTCTTTAACAAGACTCAGTTAGCATTTGGGTGCTGAGGAAAATGTTAAAATTTTGAAATTCTTTCTTAAGATTCAAAGGAGGGCCCAGCAAAATCTTTAAGATTTAAAGACTTCCTGTGTGGCATAATGGGTGAAAATCCCATCTGAACACCATGAGAGATTAGTTTCTTTATACAGGAAGCATCTTGGAGCTTGCATTACAAACAAAGGCTTCTCCAAAATTAAATTGATTTTTGTAGCACGTTCAGAACTTTTTTCCCATCATCATTTTATCTGTGTAGTTTTTTTGAGTTGACACCAATGTCTGGTCTAAATTTCATGTGAATAGCTGCACTGGAAATATGTTTAATGAAAAGAATTTTCCTCCACTGTATGTCCAAAATGATTTGCAGATCACTGCATTCTGTTTTTATGAATGTTTAACATGGCGTCTAACCATTTTTTGGAATCGGGGTTGTATAGAAAGTATTCAATGGATTGGTTAATATTAAAACCATCATTAAAGTCAGGGTTTTCCAAACATGGGTGGAGACTTTGAAGTCTATATGCACTCTGACACATAGCAGAAACATTATAAAAAGATTTCCAGTATGAGTGTAAGAGAAGAGAACAAATAAAGGCCATGCTAATGTGTACAAGAGAGTGCTGGTGAACAAATGGCAGATGCAGAGTGAGTGACTCAATCAGAGCAGAAAGAGAAGGAAGGTTTTGTTAGGAAAAAGTGGGACAAGTGAGTCTCAGGAGGCAAGAGAGAAAAAACTGTTTCAGGTACAATTACTGTGTCTATACAAACAGCTCACTGTCTGCAGGGACCATCTGACTAAAGCCTGTCTCTGTTAACCCCCACAGCCATTCACACACAAACACACACCTCAGTGGCACAGAGAACCAGAGGAACTGGTCGAACATGGCAGTTTCAAGGCCTGTTTGAGTACAGATTGTGATTCATGCACCACTCGTTTGTCAACAAACACAGTGCCCCGGTCCTGCCCCGCCCTGTTGACATTTATGCTGTGACGTGCACTTTAATGCAGATTAGGATGTGATGCACATTAGCATTCTCACACCAGCATACGGCGAAATCAAAACACACCTGACCATCAGATAACTGCTGATAAATTTGATGAAGACACTGGAGGGATGGAGGGGCAGGGGGAGGGAGCAGAGGAAAGGAGGGAACTTACAGGAACAAGTTTCCAGTACCAGCGAGTGGGACACTGTCGGAAAGGAGGAGGGACAGGAAATAGAGAAAGACAAGGAAATGGAAAACAGGAGCACAAGGAGAGGTATTAAGCCTGCAGTGGAAGAACTAGACAAACTAGAGAAAGGGTTTTGTGATGACGGTACTCTCTTGAAATGACAAGACAACCTTGTTGACAAAGCAATGACGCTACCCTTTCAGTTTTATTGTGTCAACCAACACTGGCGGTGCTTGTAGAGTATGGGTGGGTAAAAGCCTACAAGTGCAGCAAAACCAACAATATGAGCTTAAAACACAGCATTTTGGGCGCATTTTTTATAGCACTGAGTGCATAATCCTGCACAGATTATCACGTGTGTCCGGACAAAATGATATGTGACAAGAGATAAAACAGAAATACGCTGGATGTGTAATGTGATACTCACAGACGGTTGAACAGGTTGGGGTTCTGTGATGGCCTGAGATGTGTCATTTTGGGCTCCTTCAGTACGCTCTCTTAACTTCTGGTTTAACTGGGAGCATGCCGAGAGAACAAAATGGTTAACACACATAGATCACAGACCTACACATTATTGCGCATAATGTGCAACCTCAGTTTGAATTGTAACAATCAGTATCAAGCTTTACACACATAAGATCAATGAATAATTATCTTATTCTTTTTAAATAGGCTTCGTATTTTAACAGGATTTCAGTGACAATTTTAAAATGTACTACATTTGTTAAAGTCGCTGAAATAAAGCCACTGAATGCTGTGAAGCCAAAGATCCAAACAGATGTCTACTTTATTTCAGCTACACCTTTTCAAGTGCAAATCAGCAACCACATTATTACTCAATCAGATTGTGAACTTCACAACTTGTCTCGTATTTGATCCTTTTTTTTCATAGTCAACTATATTTTCCATCTTCAGTTGCTGCCCCCTGTGTTTTGTCCCCATCAGATTAAATCTGAACAACTGTATTTAAAATGTAATGTGGGCTGTAGCCTAAATGATGAATTGATGAACACTGAATAAAACACTGAGGAGCATTACTCAAAGTGAACATACTTAAAGTTGATTGAACAAAGCGATCAGCTGCTCTGTAACCAACAACTCTGAATTAGCATCTTGTGGTTCATTAACTTAGAGTTCAGGATTAGCCTTAGTTTGTACAACCCGCTGTCCAAAACAGGGCCAAGGCTTACTGGTCGTACCTCACCTTCAATTTAAAACCAAAGGTGACTGTGACTTTGACGTGGTGGCTCTGACACTGTGGAACACTCTTCTTGTAGGCATACACTCTGCAGTCTCTGTTAACGTTTCCAAAAAGCAGCTAAAGACTAACTTATTCAAACTGGCCTTTGTCTCACCTCATGTTGTCTAGCGTGTGTATTTAAGGTTGGTGTTGGAGTTTCTTTTGCTCTTATTTTTTAACAATTTTATTACTGACTTAAATAAACTTTCCTCACTTACTACAGCATCTATATTTCTGTAGCTAAACAGACATCTACAATCATCTACAACACAGATCTTTGATAAAAGATAGAGAGTAAGATAAAAGTCTGAACAAGTATGTGTGCTTTAAACATGCATCGTTTCTCTCTGGCTTGCTCCTTACCCCATTAACCCAATGAAGGAGAGCATCCTCCCAGCTGGAGACTCCTCCCAGGAGCTCAGCAGAACCACATGTCTTCACCGCAGTCACCGTCTCCATGGCTCCCACAGCCATCAGGGCATCTATCACTGCCAGGTGAGCGCTCTGCACCAATCACATGGGAGAAGGAAGAGGAACTGTCAGATGCAGGACCATTTACGGCAAAGACCAGAGAGCCCAGACAGCATCACTCAATCACAGCTAACACAATAATGCTGGACGCTGACATTTTAGTGCTCTAACAGGGCACTGCTCACTGTAGAGCGGAGATCACCTCCAACTGCTGCAGCGCTTCCATTTTCTACCAGCAGATTCCTCTAGAGGTCACCAGAAGCCAGCTGTGAGTCAGCAGAAACACTGACAAGAGTTTTCAGTGAGCAAACACACACATCAGTAGACGTGGGTGAACTTTGGACCTCTGTTTGTACAATCATTAAATCATTAAATAAGCAATGGGCCTGAAGTATGATAACGTGTGTGTCCCAGGACTGTCATTCCTCAGCTGCTTTACCTTTATTTGCCTTCTCTTCAGCAAGCTTCGCTTCCCTTTGGTGCAGTGAAATATTGCTGTATGACTCATGTGCAAAAGACTACAGCATAAAATGAGGTGCTGTAACTAGATCACCAGGAAGCACAACAATGAACAGCTTTCTCTGTAAGAAGACAGGTGCTTCATGGAGCTACTGCAGTTTTGGTGTATGATTGTGTTTTTCTCAGACAATACGATGGATAGAAAATCTAATCAACATGTTTTTTTTTCACACAAATACAATCAAAACAATAAATCTGTTAATCCACATAGTTGAAATTCCTAAGCATGTATATCCAACAGACATAAGTATACTTGAGAGACCATTTAAGAGCTTTTTCTAAAGGCGAGAGCCCATTAAAATGCACCCCCAACATTATCAGCTCAGTTAGAGCGAGCGCCTTAACTCTATAAACCTGTTACCTCATTAGAAGCTGTGCTCGGTTTGTGCCACGGGAAAACAACCAACAGTACTTTACATGTCTAACCTCCATATTAAGTGCATTTAATTCATACAGACAACTGGCAAATAAATTAAGTCTTGGAATTCATTCACGATCAAGCCCTCCAATTCTTCACCATTATTCAGATTATCACAGTAGCTAGTAAATAAAGTCATTTCTGGTTTTTGAAAGTCTCAGCGGGATCATAGCTCATTAACAAAGCCTGCAGGGCTAGGAAGCCCAGAGGGGAAAATAATTAGCCTGTGAGGTTATTCTATAATCAAATCTTCTCCTGTATATAGTCATTATATTTAATGTATGATCCTTCTATTTTTGTCTCCTGTACCACTTTTAGTTGCCATCCAACAGCAGAACTGGGGCCCCTCTCTCCTCACTATTGGCCAATGCCAACAAGCTCCTTGTTATAATTATCAATTCTGGCCAACAGAGAAGACAAGCAGGTCACAAACAACACATTCCTGTCGTGGGGCCACTCCTTCAATCGCCAACCTTCAGTTTTGAGCCTAATCTGTGCAAATCAGTGCCTGTTCCCTTTAACTAATTACAAATTCCACTTCAGAGGCCAGACATTTTTGCTCTAACCTCTTACGTTGCCCCAGATGGGGGCTGGTGGCAGTCCAGCTGCGTGCATGAGCCCTGTCTGCATGTCTGCCTACTCAACCCTGATGTAAAGTGCTGACCTGGGCAGACCCGGTGCTGGGGCGGGCAGGGCGGGCTATGCCAGCAAAGGCTTGTCAGATAGCATTGGGCCGAGCTCTGTGGATGTGCTGCAGTCAGTCACCGGGAGCCTTTTGGCCCCGACTGGCCTGCCCTTCCAACGCTGTTGCCAAGACTAGGGCTGCTGCTTGTGTGTCTGTGACATGACTTATCTGTTAAGTGGAAATGTTTGCAGTACAGAAGGGGACAAAAGGCCCACTATAAGGACTAGGGCCTCTCAGAGTTAGCCATAATCTGACTGGCTCAGAGTAGGGCTGGGTGATATGGAGAGAATCAAATATCTTATATATTTTTGACCAAATACCTCAATATCAATATTGTGATGACACAGTAGGGTTGAATATTGGCGCTTGAGAGTTTTTAATAAATAATCTTCAGTAATGTGGAAATAATGACTAGTGGGTAAACATAAAAAATACAACAGTTCAAAAAGTTCAGAAAATTACATCCTTTTACTGTAATGCAGCCTCTAAAACCAGGAAAAGACAACACTGTTGATGTTACAATATCCAAAATCTAAGATGATATCTAGTCTCATATCACCATATCGACGTATTTTGCCCAGCCCTAATTCAGAGCAGTATTAGTAATGAAAACACAGCAGGGCTAGGTACAACTTTCATGAGATCATATATTAACTTTAATTGATTTTATGTATGTATTGTATAATTTTAAAGAACTCTACAGTCCTAAATAACAATTCTGACTAAATCTAAGTTAGTGTTTTGCATGAGTTCCTCCTGATGCAAACAGACAAAACACATCTCTTTGTATTCAATATCTATTTGATCTTTTTTTTTTTTTTTTAAGGTTTTTTTTGCATGCATTTGCCACATACTGACATTTCCTGGCCACTTTTTTAGGTACATGTACACAATTTAATGCAACAGCTCTGCAGCATATTCTGCCTTTACAAAGTAACCTAACCACTTTAAAAATAAATAAATAAATAAATAAAGTGGTCAACGATATACTTATAACTGAGGTCTTGGTAGTGGCGGTGTTGTACTGAATTGCATTATATTGAAATCATTTCTAATACAATAGAAACACTTGTTCTCAACATAATGCAGTCATGTTCAACTACAGCCTCAATAAAAAGTACAAAAAACACGTAAAACTACTGATTACGTCCGACCCTCGAAGGTCAAAAGTTTGAATAATTAGGTGGAGACCCCACAGTTGACTGAGATTGAAGTTGAGCAGTCGTTTTTTTGTGTGTCATTCAGTGTAAAGTGTACTTCTCGGGACATTTCAGTCCACAGACTTAACTGCTGAGCAAAGGCACCCCACTTTCACACTACGTCTCAGTACAGGCAGCTGCAGACCCAGACCCAGGGTGAGTCTGACTGAGACGGCGGAAGCTGCTCTGAGAAAGAGAGGCTTTGCCTACTCAGGCTTCAAGATATCATTATCTTCTGCCCTCTGCTTAGAAAATGTGAGTTTACAGCTCGCAGCAACTTAGTACAATGTAGTCTCCAGCTTTTGCTCACTATCTAGTGTCTTGCATGCAGTGGCTCAGTGGGCTAACTTGGCTTGTTGATCATATTACATGAACATCGCATCCACCCTGAATGTCCTGCTGAACCCATTCAAACTCTCAAACTGGGAAAAAAGGAACAAATAGTTGAATATTTAAATGCAATTCGGCTGACTTAATTCTGGGTTTGGTACAGCCCTATAACTTTCACCTCTGTGACAGTGTTCAAACTAAACATTATTATGTCTGTAATGGTAGAAATTATGGCTGGGCTGTTATTGAATTGCATTAGATTTACCAGCATAAAGCCGCCATTGAGTACATGTCAATGTTGCATATCAATACTGAAAAAATACTCAAATAATGTAAAATAGCTATCAACCATTTATGTTCACAGATCTTTGAGGCCTGAAAACAAAACAAAACAAAACCCAGACAGCTGCTAAATCGTGTCAGTAGCTGTTTTAAACACTCAGAGTGATTTAAGGTAGTCACATACTTTTGCATTGAGCCACAAAGTGTAATCATGGGTTGGAGCTACTGTTAGAGTGTGAAAGGAGACAGGATGACGGAGAGGAAAAGAGGAAATCAACAAGAAAGAATGACAGACCTAGTGAAAGTGGCCAACCCTGCTGTCACGCTGTACAGTAGTTATTCAGGAGGAGAGAGCAGAGAGTGATTCATGACAAAAAGTGCAGAATGAAAGGGGAAGAAGGGGGGTTGCTAGTGGATTTCCCATCGCAGACCCAGGAGAGCTCGCTAAGCTAAATCACAAGTCTCCCTAATGAGAGGGGAGAGAGGAGCAACTCATGAACACCCAGCACAGAGCCTGCCAGATCACCATAACAACCAACCAGCTGACCCACAATGCATCTCAACACAAGCCTGACCGCAGCTCCGCTCGGTGCCCCTGGCTTAGCACTGGCTCTCTGCTCGGAAACATCCGGCCAGCAAACAGTTAGCACCCCTCAAACTGATGTAACAGAGAGAGGGGAAAAATTAATACCCCGTCAATTAACCCCATCAACTCGAAATATTTATGGCTCTATTTGGCAAATCTGCTTGCATAACCCCATCAACAACTGAGTCAAACAAAGACGGCAAAGGCATCTTGTGGATCATTAAGTGAGATTATGATGAGGGCAAAATCTGATTATGTCTGAAATATGACTTAACCCCACCCCCCACCCCTGCCTGGTGCCTACTGAGGGGGAGACAAACATTGGGATCAGGCAGGTCTGGGGCCCAGCTGGGGATTTAGACAGGAGGTGCTCTCAAAGCTCATGGTTATATGAACACTGATATGTATCAGAACTGTATGCTTTTGCAAAGAAATCCAGTCTAGAACAGCTTTACACCAAACTCATTTAACATACAGTAGATACATTTAATTACAACTCCACATGAAGTTCTCATCAGCGAAGGCCCAAAGCGAAACAAATGGTGTAAGATGATGGTTAGCGTTTCTGATAGTCTGCCACTTCTGTTTTCAACTAAGCTCCTGACTGATGCTCACTTGACCAGAAACCTGCCAACACAGCAGTATGATTTAAGACAAAGTGTCAGTGCCTATCCAAAACCAACAGGGGACCGGGAAGAGGGTTAGCTGCATTATGGCTACATGACTTACTTTGTCACTGTGGGAACAAATGCTTCAATACATATCTAGTGTTATCAATATCATTACTTCAGAAATGGAAAACTATAATTATACTACTGTCTCAGCCAACAGGAAATGTAAGAAATGACTTGGATGTTGTGAGACATGTTAGATGCATGGTGAGTAAGTGGTCATCTCTGGCGTGTCATCCAATCGTGGATGATGACGTTCAGTCTGCATGGCAGATTATCTCTAATCTGGGCTGGGCCACCACCAGAAGGACAGTTACCAGTAGGGCACATACACACACGCACACACTCCGCAAGTAGGGGATGGAGGCAGCCGGAAGCTCCATTGCTGAGCCCTAAGGATGTGCCACTACAAAGCTTTCCTTTTCGTGATAACACTGGCCTGTAAAGATACTGGTGCTTAGGTTGCAGAAGCAGTGCTATTGATTTACCAGGGTTCAACAATAAGGACCAGGGCTAGTAAAATGCCACATCAGGCAAGTAAATCTAGCAACTCAAGTGGTAAAAAAGAATTAAATATGTAGTTTTTTTCTGGAGCTGGTGATGGAAGTAGCAAAAGAGTGAGCCATCTTGCTTCCTTCTCATTTTTGTTGAGAGCTGCACATGTGCAGCAATCAGGCACTAGCGAGAAAATGGCGGCGGGTAAAGACAAAGTTTTTTAGCAGAAGGGCAAGCAAGCATTTCAATACCCCGGGAAACAGGAGTTTAGTTGTGTGGTGTTAGAGTATGTCTCTGAGGAGAAGGAGGAGTGTCATAGCATTTTGCATTTTTAGTATACAAGAATGTTTGTAGCTTCGCATCCATGACACACTGTGTCCTTGTTCTGATTCATTTACTTAAATAAATTTAAAGATGACAATTAACTTCAGTCTTTGTTATTAATTGATAACCGCTATTAAATACAACAATTTCTAATGGGGCAAGGAAAAACTGCCTTTGAGCAAGTAGATTTCTGACTTTTTCTGAACAAAAAACCCTGCTTACTGCTTTACAAATCATCAGTACTTATCTATCTGTTGCATTAACCAAATCAATGTACCAACATTTCCTTAAAGGACCTGTATGTGATATTCAGAACATTACAACATTATTTGCTATGTAAAGATTAAGTGGAGTAAGGAGCAGAGAATGAAGTCACACAGCTCAAATGTTCTTCCTGAATATTTTTGACTGTAACTATTAACTAAGGAATTTCAAGGTCTAGAAGCGGGGACAGACAGCTGAAGCTTCTTCATCCTGTAGCAGAAGCGTACAATCTGATGAGGAGAATGATTACTGTAGAGCGATATTATGTGTGTTAGGTGAGCTATGATGTGTCTGGTTTTGCCCTACTTTGATCATAGCGCAGACTGTGTAGTTTTATAGAGAGTAGGCCACTGGCATTCTCTTACTGATGCTGGTGCAGCAACCACAGTCAGTACCAGGATCTTAATGTGTTAGAGTAAACCTGCATCCATGGATTTGTACATGAGCCAAATTTCACAATTACCAGCAACAAAAATGTAATACATGTGGTGTATCTAAAACTACATGAACAGTGTATTGCTTGACATATATTGACTGGCGACGACAGGCATGACTCAACATACTTTGATGTACATGCACTATATGTTATCGCCTTGTTTGCTACGGATATGTGGAGCTTTAATATACAGCAGTGCTGCAGCAGATTGCTGCTGCTCCAAAGCCGTTTACTGGCCAAGACCCACATTGATGCGCCATCCATCTAATGCTGCTGCAGCATGACCCACTTTCTTTACTTGCCACACTGTAGCTACGCTGCCAGTCAGCGACAGACAAGCTTAGAGAGCAGCCGAACAGCGACTGGAAGGCTCACAGTCCAAAGCAGCAAACAGCAAATGCAGCATTAACAGTAACAGCCAAACAGCCAAACAGCCAACAGCCAAATAAGAGTTTAATGGTTCGGATTTACAGCTGAGACGGTGCATGGTCTGACCTGGAAGCATCACTGCACTGAGGTGCACACAAGCAGACAAATTCATGCACATAAACAAATTAACGCAACACCATGCATGAAAGAGGCCCACTGTGTCATTAAGCCATTATTGCTGGTGCTGTAGTGATGATGATGCAGTCATTATTACTTAACTACACATTTTTAGTCTTTTATGCTTGTGTTTTCTTGCCACTGAATGCCTTGTTGGACTTTTGGTGTGATATGACACATCTGACCGTGCATGTGGTTCATTGTCAGAAATCCTTCATGAGCAATCAGGTATGCACTTCTGTCTACAGTCCTGTGCATACCCCTGGTAGAAGGACCATATGTCATCACATTCAGTGCAAAAGGAGGGTGCATGTGACATGCTTTAGGCTGTAGATTAAAAAAAAAAAAAGACTAAACCAATGCACCATAAATACAACAGCACTGAAAATTACATAAATGGATGGCCAGTGATTGAAATACATACTGAGACTTACATGCACACTAATATTCCACTATTATTCGGAATTTGATGCATGATGTATTTTCCGTTTAAATATTTAGGGCCAAATTTAATATAAATATTAAATTTGGCCTTTTTCCCGAATTTAGCATTTTCCATTTAAGACATGTGGAATATGCCGGTTTTATTTGGGTTTATTTGGGCATTATTTAGACATGTATACAGCACATTCAGAAAATGTGTCTGAGTTGGGGTTTCACTGCAGTTTGCAACACATGGCCTCTTATCTGTTTACATGTGGCTCTGTGGGTTGTCACGGACGTTGTACACAAACCAACTCGCCAACAGTTCACAAGGATGGTGAGGAAATGCATGCATAAGTGCCCATGTTTTTGGTCAGCTGGAAAATTGTGGCTATTTTTGCACACTACAAAAGACTTGGATATCAACAGGTTTTTGGATAAGCACAAACATCACAACGCTGACCCTTTCAAGAGGGTGGCTGAAGGAAGGAAAGAGGGAGGCTGTGTTTGCACGGAACAAGAAGTCCGTCATTGGTAGGTAACTCTGAAAATATATATTTTGACGCAAAGAAGCAAAATGACAAGCTGCTTTAGCTTTTCCAATTCTCTATATTTTTACATGATAAACGACATGTTAGAGCACGTTAATTGGAGTATGCATGGCTAATGTTTTTTATTAGCCATGTTAACAGCTCGGTAGGAATAATGTCTTTTTGGAAAAAGGGCAACAAACTGACTATTTTGTGCATGTAAACATGCTCACTGTCAGATTATGCCTCGTGGAAAAAGGGAAAAGTACAGCATAAGGCACAACACTAGTTAAAAACAAATAGAAAGGAAATCCCCTTGAAAGGAACCGTCACTGTCCACAGCTTTCTTCCTGTGCTGTGTCTTTCATCATTATCTTTAAACAACCATTCTCACTGCTTCCAAAGTACAACTCTACCAGTATTTACAAAACTAGATATTGCTATACCACAACTTTAAAAACCAACATCCTCCAAATTCTCATAACACCAGACTCTACTGCACATGTTCACACAATGTCTACACTAATTAGTTTAGAAAATGTCACAGATGCATGCACACCTTTTCAAGCATACAACAGTGATAATCATCCCAGCAGCACCAGCAGTGCTGCACCTGCTGCAGTGGCCAGTACACAGCAGCAGTGGAGCAAACAGCTTTCACCGAACAACAACACTCTCCGTACAGATCCCTGGAGACTCCCTCCTTAGCCTTCAAAAAAAAAAAAAAAAAACACCTGTGTATGTGCATGATCCCGTGTAGCCAGGGAAATGCAGTTGGATGCCACTTTTTGAGGAAGATAATAACCTATATAGAGGGAGCTTTTACAGGAATGCTTCAAAATTGAGTTACAGTGACTTAAATGTTCCATCAAACCTAAAAGTGTCCCTCCTCTTGCAGTCTTTTATCATTCCTAATTTGAAAATAAACTCAGTTATCTGTTGCTTTTCAGACTGGAGAATTTAGGACTGTATTGAGTGTGTACTACAGAGAGAGAGAGATCCATTGTCAAGGGCTAAGAGGACAAACCAGTTTCTCTTGATTTAACTCACTGAACCAGCCCAGAGGCTTCTCTCAACACAGAATCTTAAGTTTCACGAGAACTGTTTAGCTATTGTTCTGATCTGGAACGTCTATTGAATCTAGACTCTCCCTCCTCCTCACACCCTGGAATTAAAGTAGTCATCCCTTGAGTCACCATGACTGCCCTCGTCCTAGCAGCTGGATCCACTCATCCTCTGGGATCAGCTGGGGGCAGTGTGAGGAGGGGGTAGGGGCAGGATTGAATGAGTGGGGGTCTTTGTGATGTCCTTTAATCCCTAGAATCAAAGCATAAACAAGCCCCTATATCAACAACCAAGCCCACTCGACCTCTTTTGCTACAGACTCCCGGATAGCAGAGCATCTGGTTCCACGGGAGGAGACTTTCACTCCTTGGGGCAATAGAGAAATAGGATGCGGTTTCTACTCAAACAACAGTTCTGACATTTCTTTGAAACAATCCTCTCAGGCCACTACCAACAACACTGACTGCCAGACTAGTGTGGCGTCAACACCTAAGTGTTTACTGTTCCCATAGCCAAACCATAACGTTACCATTTTGATGGGTTTATGCCGGAGGTCTGCATCAGTCACTGGTTTGTCCTGGTCTTTGGAGACTATGCCTCTCTGAGTGAGGAGCTGCAGCAGGGCGACATTATCTTTGGGCTGTGCCTCGGCTCCGGTGACCCCCAGTAACAGGCTGTAGGTCCGGCAGTAGAGCTCCGAGGACTGCAGGAGGCGTGTGACTGGCGGTTTAAGGTGCTCCTGCTCATACTGGTCACAGTAGAAGGGGTCACGCAGCTCTACAGGGACGTTTTCTGCCAAGGGACAAAGACATACAAACACAGTTTGATAAGTTCCTGGAGCAGTGGTGCTACTTGAGAACTGTTTGCTATGATGATTTGTGATCCTGTATCTATTTTTAAAAACACTGTAACAATATTTAACTGTTTAGATTTTTTTTTCCTCAATCTGTTTACTTAAAGAATCCCGCAAGCACATTTATTTAATATTTTTACTGATATAGGCATATTTTAATTCCTTTTCTCAGACTGCACAAAAAGGAGTGCTATGATGATGTTGGATGATACGAGGGCTGTGATAAATACAAATGCAGATCCCACTGTTCTGAGTGTAGACAAAAGTACACTTTTTTAAAGCATACAGTGTTGTTCTCTTTATACTATTAGATTTAGAAAAAATACAGAATCAAAATACATCGTAATATACTAAATCATAACCCCTTTATCGTGATATGTATCATGAAGCCAGATTCTTGCCAACACAAAGCGTTAATGTGTAGATGTATAAATAGAATGAAGTTCCATATGTTTTAATCTTGGCCCGTTCTTCAGTCAAAGATCATCTTGTGTGTGTTTTACTGTCGCTGGCGTGGAAACCTGCAGTGTGCCAGGTTTGGTGGCAGATTAAGACAACTGGTGCATACCCTAGAGCTGTAATCATATGAGTGAGTAGAGCGGAGCAAGCATCAAGGTCAGTGGGGCATGCAGAGCTCAGAGGTTCACATCTGCAGATTACAAGATGCTCCGTCCCTCGTTCCTTCACTCTTTTTAAAGCCTTTGCTTAATTTTTGTGCAAAGCTTCAGTGAAAATTGCTCTTACAGATCTCCGCAAAGACGAAGTAAATCTCACAAGCAGAAATAAGCAACCTGATTAAAGCCTGCAGCCTCAAAACTATGAAGAGGCTTCAAGTCTACTTGGCCAAAGTTAATGTTGACTTACCCCTGTACAAATTGTCTTATTTATTAATGGTTATCAACCAATCCCACTTGATCTGCCAAAACATAGTTAGAATTTAACACCACCTGACTGAACTCCTGTTACAAGGATAACTGAAATGTTGGCTTGCACAGCTCACAAACTTTGTCTTTACTAGGGCTGCAAAGGTGAAACTATAGCAAGCTGCACCTTGTCAAAATAAATCAAAACCTTTATGACTGGACCATGTGGGAATTTAATTTGAAAGGACAGACACAGGAAATGGCCACGCTCAGCAGTCAGACAGGAGTCATGTTACAAACGAATCAGAGCCAACAGATATCTTTACTTTCTTCTGTAAATATTCAGTCTGATAAATACGGAAAAGTTGATCATTTTAGTGCAGGGCTACCCAGAGCTTTACACCTGTCCCACAGACGATAGGCCTACACACTTATAAACAGCACCTGGAAGAAGATCAGCTCTGCACTCAGGATTTCAGGTAAATAGGCTATACGGTGCTTGTTAAGCGACCTGCCGCAGCGCTCTTAAAAGCTGGCACAAAAAAGGCACAAGAGTAGTGCCAAGAGCCCGACCTCGCATTTTCCAAGCGGTTAAAGACACGGCATGTGTACGGCCCCTAATTTCGAGGGCTGGTACCTGAGGTTATTCCACAGGCTAGTTAATAACATGTTGGGAAGGATATCCAAAGTGTGGGATCATTTTGAGAAGTTGAAGGACAAACCCTAGGTGATATGTAAACTCATCTTCATTCGTCGACTACAAACATGACGTATCATCTGAAACACGTAAGCAGCTACATGCCCATTAGCCACTTAGCACAATCATTACTGCTTTACCGACAGCGTCATCAACAGGCGGCTCGCTCAGTGTGTGAAGTGCACTGGTAGATAAAATATAGGCCTATATTAATGAAGGTTCATTAGTACGGTTTTGTATTTCTCTGTAATGTAGCACAGTGTTAACAATGTTACTGATACTATTCTTTCTCACACCTTTAACTCAAACCATTGTGTTGCCCCGCCCAAAATGTATCATTTAATAATTAAATTAACATTGGGGCATCGGTGGCTTAGTGAATAGAGCAGGCACCCCATGTACAAGGCTGTTGCCGCTGAAGCCCGGGTTCGACTCCAACCTGTGGCCACTTCCTGCATGTCACTCCCCATCTCTCATCTCTCTCCCCCTTTCACACTAAATAATAATAATAACAATTAAATTAACATTATAAACATATGGGCGACTAGTCGACTAATGGCCCTAAATGACGACTATTGTTCAACTAGGAAAATTCTTAGTCAGGGGCAGCCCTAGTCTTTACCCACCGCCATTTTCTCGTGAGTGCCAGACTGTTACAGTGCATGTTAAACTCCATAAAAAACTATGTGCTGATGAATTTTTTTTTGTTCCGCTTGCCCAATTGAGCAAATGAGTTGCTACATTTACTAGTCCAACATGGCATTTTACCTGCCCCAGGCAATTGGGCAATCCTTATTGCTGAACCCTGCAAAAGCAAAGTAAAAAACTCAAATTCTGTCTCATCTCAGACAAGTAGCGAGGCAGTGTGCTGCACCCACTACAAATGACTAGCTGAAATTTTTTAAAGAATCTGTTCAAACTGGTCTTAAAGATCGCAGCAAACATTATTCTAAAAAAACAAACGCTAGACACACCCTCTGTGAAACTGGTTTTCGTGCATCCAGACTAAACCAGCAGCAAACTCAATAGCATGTGTCTCTGTGCAAACACACTGGAATAAGCGTTAAAGGGCCTTTGGGAAAAAAGTTGTCGTGCTGAAATACCAGCAGTCTGGCTGAAAAGAGAGCAGAGAAACTTATGAGTGCCTTAGACTAAGCCTAACAGAGAAACAAAGGGGTTATTACAAGGGAGGTGTCACTGTGTTGCTGTATCATTATAACGTCATGTAATGGATCCACTGACAGCAGACAACAAAACAAAACGCCCAGCTTCAGAGGTCAGACAATGCCCTATTCGCTCTCACTCTCACTCCACGATGACTATAGATGTCAGACAATATTGTCAGTCACGCCACATGGCGCGTTTTGTTGTAAATATGCTCCCGTGTGTCAGAACAACAATGCTTACTTTACTGCTGTAAACACTGAGACACACCCACCAAAATGTACACCTATGGCCATAGCTCAGCGTATTTACATAATACATGTAAAAGAAAAAGAAAAAAAGTCTTCCCACGATGACGTGTTAAAAAAAAATCTTCCCCAGAAGGCAAAGCAGGATGCAAATGCCACAACTCAGCGAGATGTGAGAGATCGATATGAGCATGATTTCCCTATGAGACAGTCTCACCATGAATGATGACTTTGTGTCACATGTCACAGAAACAAACCCAGTGCAAACTTCCAAAACTGTGTACCTGCACAAAAATAGCACCAATTACAGAATAGAGCACACAACTACTGTTAAAAACCTAAAGGGAATAGGAGGTAATAAAAAGGTTGACCGGTTAACCCTTAAGTTAGGAGTGATCTCCCTGCTTCACTCACCTGTGCTAATAACATGTTAATAAACTTTTGACTTTTGCCTTCTTACTCAACAGCAGATAAGCACTGACCCTATAACCTGTGAGAGTGACAGAGCGACTGTTGCTCCAGTTTATGCAAACACACAAGCTTGTGTTTTTAATCTAAATACTTCCCTGGAGGTCTATTGATGCCAACGTTATGGAGAGATCACATTTCTGTTTGCTTGGGCTTTGTTACATGTAAAGTAAAGAGGTTCGAGCAAGCACACTCTGGAGATTTTAACCAAGAGACTTAGTATTTTTCAACCTGGACCCTATTTTCTCATGTTTTGTGTCTATGTGACTAATGGAAACAGCATTTGTTAAAAATTGGTGAAGTACTGAGCAAGAGTGCTGCACCCAGCAGCTGCAAACAGGCTGCAAATTAATCCTACGGGCCTAAGCGCAACGTCAATGTTTGTCGACAAAAAGTGCTTGTTTTTGCGGTGACAGCTTCAGATTGTCATCATAAATGTCTGATAACATTATGGAAAGTGTCACAACAGAGAAATAAAGCATTTTCTTTACCTTTTGTTTGATCTGATCTGTTTGTTATTGTGTCAAACCAAGTCTCACTCAAGAAGGAGTCACATTCTGCCATCTCACGAGAGCTGTTGTTGAGTTGTTACAAGAAGACAATAAACAGACCACATCTATGCTAAAAAATGTTTATTTTGAAACAGGGTTTTAAAACGAAAACAGTCTCTGTAAACACAAGGGTTTTAGCACTGTTTAAGAAATAGTCTCCGTCTATATGACCGCATGACCATTCACGCGCACTGGGCACTTAACGATGTAGACAGGAGGCAGACAGTCTACTATGCAGTTGGTTGCTTAGTTACAGACAATATTACAGAGAAGGCAAAAAGTAAGACCAGATTTTTCTTTGCTTGGACCAACGAAGAGGGGGAACTGTTCATGAAAGCAACATAAGTATAAGGCGGTCAAAGAAGCAGAGCACATAGGGTGCCGAAGTTATGCCCCTTCCAGTGAAGCTCATGGGACCTTAGATCGGAAAAAATATGAATGGCAGTGAATGAGGAGAGAAATATTATCTTTTGGTCCCGTTTGAGTTGTGACATGAAATCCAAATATGTCGTTAATGAATTTAAAACATAAATTTTAAGGTCAAGAAAGTCATACTTTGTGGTAAAACTGTTGAGATATAAGCTTTTGAAAAAAACGTAATTAGAAAAACTACACAGGAGGCGGTCGCGTATGTGACGTCATAGCCGTGGCTCGCTTCCAGCAGCTTGGAGTGACTGCAACCTGGCACAAAACACACAGACATCTTCGATCATAAATCGATTAACCATAAAACAGTGGAATTTCAGCGGGGAGGCCAAGCTGCAGGAAGCGAGCGAAAGCTGTGACGTCACATACGCGACCTCCTCCTTTGTACTCTTGAGTCTAATTAAAAAGCTTATATCTCAACAGTTTTACCACAAAGTATGACTTTCTTGACCTTAAAATTTATGTTTTAAATTCATTAACAACATATTTAGATTTCATGTCTTAACTCAAATGGGATCAATA